TGGAGCTTTGAATCTACTGTAATTCCCAGAAATACAGCAGACTCAACTGGATTAATGGGTACGTTATTTAATATTAAACTAAAACTTTTCCTTCTTATACTGGGAAGGGTAAAAAGAATACATCTGGTTTTTTTTGGCATTTAATACCATATTATTAATAGTAAACCAGTGGAGGATATGTGAAAGTGCACTATTCACGTCGTCATAATTTAATACGTTTCGGTCAACTCTAAAAATAAGCGATGTATCGTCAGCAAACAGTACAACATCACACAACCCACTGGCATAAAAGGGGAGATCATTAATATATACTAAAAATAATAATGGGCCCAAGATTGATCCTTGTGGGACTCCCATTTTCATCTGGGACCCAGTGGAATTAACATCATTTTTAGATACTTTTTGAATTCTATTACTAAGGTAAGAGGCAATGAGATTGAGGGCGATCCCACGAATGCCATAATATTCTAGCTAGCTTTTGAAGGATAGTTTTATGGTCTACGCAGTCGAAGGCTTTTGAAAGGTCACAAAAGACACCTATTGCATCTTGTGACCTTTCCCAGGCATTATAAATATGTTTGACAAGTGCGACGCCCGCATCTGTTGTCGATCTGCCTTTAGTGAATCCATATTGCTCATCGTGAAAGATTTTGTTCACATTAAAATGAACTAAAAGTTGATTTAATATTAGCTTTTCAAAAACTTTACTAAGAGATGGCAATATGGAAATAGGTCTATAGTTGCCTGGATCATTTTTATCACCACTTTTGTAGACAGGTATTATCTTACTAAATTTCATAAGATCTGGAAATATTCCAGAATCTATGCAGTTGTTAAAAATAGAAGCCAAATGTGGTGCAATATATGGCATTATTGTGCTCATTAATTTTATGGACATACCCCATAAATCCTCTGTATTTTTAAGATTAATAGAATTCAAAACTTTTATAATATCGTAAGTATCTACGTGATTAAATTTAAATGTGTGTAGGCAAGGGGTAACATTATTTCTTAAAACATTAATTGCGTCTGCGGGAGATGATTTTAATGTACGTGTGACATTAACCGCAATGTCTGAAAAATAGCTTTCGAAACTACTCGCAATTTCGTTATCTGATATTATGGGAGTATTACCTATAACTAGTTTTATAGGTTCCCTGAATATCTTGGTTCTTCCAGATATACGGGTAATGATGTCCCATGTGGCTTTAGTTCTATTGTTTGAATTTATTATGCTATTTCTTATATAAACAGACCCACAGATTATAAAAGCGGAAATAACTCGCGATCCGCGCAGCATCTCGAAGCAACTCTACTCTCAATATATCGTAGTTTCCAAATATAAAGATGTTAAACCAACAATTTAATTTTTTTTTATGTTCATGTTTCCAAGCAAAAGGCATAAACATAAGCTGATTTTAATGTTAATTATAAACCATTCCTTTCAGTTAATCCATGGAGTAATAAATTTGACACAGGGACAAAGTACCCAAAAAAAGGAAGAAAAAATCAAATCACTTTATTTTTTAAATATTTTAATAGTAGACTGACATTAATAAAATTAAGTGTCCCACATTAAGTAAATTGACAACAGTAGACGTAATTGCAAAAAGATTTAGACATGTGAAATTACTCACATTCTTAACATTGTAACTCACGTTCTTAACATTGTTATGGACTAAACTAAATTTGGACCACCAATATATTATAGTTAATATTTTACTGATATTTCATTATGATATTACAACACCTACTACATGTTTTCAATTATATATTTTTTTTAATTCTGTCAATGGCTTCATTCCATAACTTCACTCAGTTTAGTCCAAGTCAACGGTAAAAACTAACAACAATAGAATTAACACTATATAAACTATATTCTAAAAATAATAATAATTATGCTGTTGCATTTGAACCAAATATGTCCTTAATGTTTGACGTATGTTTGCCCTTAGTGCCCGCTTGGTTAAAGATAACAAACATAATTGTTTCAAAGTCGTGTTCGAAACAATACAGCCAAATAAGAATTTAAAACTAGACAGTAATTTGGACTGCGGTGCGAACGATAGAGCGCTATCCCCCACTAGCAACCCCTACAATATCTTCAAAGATATTAAATTTCACTATACTTCTAAAAAAAAAAGTAGACTCGACTTAAAAGATACAATTTAAACAGATATTTTAGTAAGAATATTTATCACTATTATTGTTTTCCTACTCATACAAATGTCAATGAACATTTCGACTTAAGAGGCGAGACAGTTCTGTTACTCCGTCGACTTAAGGAGTGAGGGAGGCCCTGAGCCCTATTTTACTAGGCCGACCCGCTCCGAATTACCTCGCTCTGAACTCATTTCTCTACTCGACCGTTTAAAGATGCACTCGTTTTTGCCTCCCGGAATTCCGAAGAACCGAGTAATAGAACTTACTTTTAACTTGGTTTTAAATTTGAAAACAATATTACTTATTACATACATATGTGTAAACTAGAGTTGCCAACATTTTCGATGATTTTAGTATTTTTTAAGATGTGTTTAGGCCTTGTAACATAAAAATTGATCCAACCGATATGTAGTATTTTTTCATAAATACTATATATATATATATACATATAGTATTTATGAAAAAATATATTGAAAAGTTATAAAAGTTATATATATATATAACTTTTCAATAGTTACAAGTACGTAGACACGAATACGGTACAATAAGATATATCATAGAATGGTTGGGAACCCTAGTGTAAAAACTCAATCAGTACATCACTGTCTTGTTGAATGATATTCTAGTTGAAAAGTTGAACTGACCAACTCCATCCATACTGGAGTTGATGATCAAAATATGGTCGAACAAACATTGTCTGTACATCTGCAATTATTGTATGCATACAATTTCAAAGAGCATCGTTCGTTTACAGTCGAAGTTCACAAATAATATTAAATAAAAAATTCTGTTACATCCTTGCAAACGAAAAGTTAAATTCAACAAGTTTAACGGTGGTAGGGCGACGCAGCAGCCTCGGCTGTTGCACGAATGGGCAGACTCGTCCGGGTAAGTACCACGACCTCACAGAAGACCAGCGTAAAGTGGAAGTATGACAAAGACTTTCGCGTTTCGTCTGGTGAGTGAGGTAGCCGGAGCCCAGTTTTCAAAAGGTTGTCAACGAGTCTGTAACCCTGGGGTACAGCAGATGTCCATGGGCGGCGGTATTCACTCACCATCAGATGAACCGTTTGCTCGTTTGGCAACTTTTCACATAAAAAAAGTTAAACACACAATTATTATAAAACGATTTTAAAGGCCGCGCCAAACTTAGTAACAAGTTGTTACTAACAACTGAGAAGTGAGCTGTGAGGGTAAATTTACGCACGTTTAGTTAACTCGGTGTGATATAATAGTAGTGCATGTCACATGCAGAATTTTAAAATCGAACGACCTATATACCAAACTACATTTTAAGAATTTATATTCTATAAATTTTGAAACTAACAGTTGCTTTTAAAAATAATTAAATTATAACGAAAATTAGAACAATATTTGGCCAAATAGTTAGATTTAGATTTTAGTTTAATGTTTAATAGCCGTGATAGTAGAACAAAAGTATTCTAAATAATGACCAACCGCAATAACAACTTGGAGTAAGACTGTACGGGTCCCCATAATTGTATGTTCGTTTGCGTGGCATATCTACTGAACGGGTCAATAAGAATAGCCGGCGGGTGTGGCCCAGCTATATTACCACTCCTGTGCACACCTTACATTCGCTACTAGACAGCGCTTTAGACGCCATACCATAGGTCATGGCATCTAAAGCGTTAGCTAGCATCGCTACGAGCGAGGGATATCTGATACGACAAAAAACGCGATAGTCGACTTAAGTTTGTAATCAACGTGAGTTGATTCTTAACAACACAGAAGACGCAACACACGAATAACTTACACTCCGAAAGCGAAGCGAACCATAGTGGAGTACATTGCACGTTATACAAATTAAAAAAAAAATGAGTTTACTCAATTATTGACGGTCATATATTCGTCCATGCCAACGCCATCTAGAATTTAATAGTGGAGTCACTCCCTCCTATTAAATTCTACTGAGTTGCAATGCAAATGTAAAGTATGTAAGACCGTGGCCTGGCCGTTGACTTCACAGTCTGGCGTGACCTTTAATGCAGTTTCTCCATATAAAATATTGCTTTTCTATGTTTGTGAACATGCAAAATTTATAAAACGTAGGTACATATTTCGTATTTTAACTTAAATTTTTAAGAATTTTATATATATCTTTTGGAACTAACATGTCGTTATGTATAATGCCTGCAAATAAAGAGATATAGTTTTAAAGGATAAAAGCCACAATATTTGTATGGTCATGTAATTTGACCAGTTCCTAACCACTAAGCCTTAAGTTAAACATTTTATGTAGTCATTTACAATTACTTTACTATCTCTCAGTAAAACCCACTAAACGAATTTAAACTGCAACAATTTCAATAAATTATAAGTAAAAACTATAAACAATTACAAATTCTTTGGGAGCACTCATTCAAAAAATATCGTAAATTTAATTTTTAACACTTACTTAGGCCGTTTACATTAACATCTATTTCAAAAAGTTTTTACTTTCAGTCCTAGGGACTATAAAAAGATATATAGCCTATAGACCTATTACATTTTGTCGTCTTAAAAAATACAAGTGGCCTTTCATCTTCAAATTTTATTTTAGTACTATTCATGAAATAAAATTAATATGAACTTTATAGCTAATGAATAAAATTTCTTTTAGTGTTAAATACTACTAATAAAAGTAAGGTCACACCAAAATATTATCTGAATTAACCTTCGTTGGAAATCACAGTGTGATATGTTAAAATATTAAATTTACAAACATTTAAGCGTCCTTTCTCTATCTAAATAACACGATAATGTAGAAAAGGCCAGTCATGGACGCGTTTTTTGTATGAAAACTACTTATAACATACATACATCAAAATCGGCTATGACTTCTTTGGCACTTTACGTTTTGTTTTCTTCTCCGATATAATTTTTCGCTTACACGTTTGTATATAACACTTTTCGATGCTTTGCTGTTCTGAAACAAATAAGTCCAAAAATTAAAAACTATGATCAAGCAAAGATAACATTTTTTTATTGTTGAAAACATCATCATCATATCAGCCGTAGGACGTCCACTGCTGAACATAGACCTCCCCCATTGACTTCCTCTTCGACCGGTCGTTAGCAGGGACACGTTGAAAACATAACTAATAACAATTTTAATTTCACTGTTTTAACTTTTTCTACTTTTATTTTAAAAATAAAGATGCTGTTCAGCAAAATTGTAACAAGTCGCGTATCAAAATCATTAATGATTTGCGAACATAAAAATTAAAGGACCGCTTTGATACACAACAGTATACTTTCCTAAATGTTATAGATTATCCTAGTTGTAATACCATCACACATTTGTTATCTTTTTTAAATTCTTTAACTTTGAAATTTAAAACTTTTTTATTTCAGTTTAAAGTCGATGAGTAACTTATGAATCCTGTCTCGATTTGGTTCGAACACCAGAACTTCGCAAGGTTGGGTTACAAAAGAATCACCTAGGCATCGGTGTAGCTTCGGCAACTCTGATGCCATCCGTAAAGTCAAAAAATATTTTAAAGTAGGTTTTCACGCCTTTTTTTATAAAAATTGGGTGAAACTATCTTCCCACGCGTAGTCTTGAGCTAGGTTTCACTACCGGAGGATAGCAAACTTCGAGTCATACTTAGAGGTATACCCAAAGAGATGAATGTCGATCATCCACCTTCGATCTCAAGGATACCGTGAAGGTAACGTACGCCGCCAACATTACCCACGCAAAGGTGCTTCAATGGACATGGTCATGGCTGAACTAGACCTTGCCGCAGAAGGTAGTGATTTATTAAACATTAAAGTAGTTTGTCGGATATGGCGGACAAATTCTCAGCCCGAGAGGGTCGCTCCAAGGGGGCTGATTGAGCCCACTTTGGATGAACGGGAGCACAGTGCGGGGAATAAGTTGAGGGCGGTAAGGGTGCAGCCATTTTACCTGTCCTCAGCAACTGAGTCGGGGAGGAAAAGGATTGCTGGTATTGTGTTTAGGAACTCTCGCTATGCTCCTTGGGTACAACTTCATGGGGGTTTTAATAATTTCTCTCTCGACAGACAAAAAATCGCGGTAAATATTGAGACCCTTGAAGAGGTCACGGACATATATTAAAAAACTGAAATTCATGTCGAAAAAATTTTCCCCTTTTTCGGTCCTCTCTTCTGTTTACCGATGAGCATTTTCAACGAGCTTCCCTCGTAAAGAGGATATAGTCACATTCGCAAGAAGACCAAATCACCCAACTTGGCTACCAGCTATCTCAATTGCTTGGGGCACCTATCCGAGCGCATCATTCTTAACACGTTGAAGAGCACAGTGCTTTTACTCAAACGACCTAATTCCTGCCGAGCATTTCAGTTCATAATCGGATCCCTCGTGTTCTGAATAGATCTTTCGCCTGACGGTGTGTACATACATCCTGACATGCGTCAATAACCCAAAACACCAAAGTACGAGTGCTCTGTTCTTCAATAAGGCATTTGACGAGGTCTGGCAAAACGGGTTGCTCTACAGGCTGTTTACACTCAACATGTCAGACAGGCTTCTGGAAACCAATCAAGCCTTCCTGTTAAATTTCCTTTTTCGATATCGATTTTTTCTACAAGGCACCTCATGGCGGGCGTTCCCCAAGGCTCTTGTCTATCGCTCTTGCTCCTTTCGGTCTATCTCTCACTTTTCCAGGATAACACAGCCCTCTTTTATTGGGATAATTATCTTAGTTGAATGACTGTACGCCTGTAAAGCGCCACCAATAACCTCGGTTAGGGGTTTCGCAGCTGGATAATGGTCATTAAGTCATAAAATCAGAACAATGAAAACGTTAAGAGCAGAGCCACGTTCGTATCAGACCAACTCCACAAACTAGGCCTAGGAGACTCAATGTGCGTGTCCTACACTTGCGTGTCTTTTGTAGCATTTTTTTTTGTGAAAAGTTGCCAAGCGAGCAGACGGTGCACCTGGTGTTAAGTGAATACCGCCGCCCATGGACATTTGCTACACCCGAGGGTTGAAAATTGGGCCTCTTTGAGTGAATCAATAATTACCTGGCAGTAAATGCAAAAAATAGAAATAAATAAAATAATGAACAGTTGATTTTTTCACAAATGTGTTATGACATTTCATTAGGTAAACGAAAACTTCTTCAATTTACTACCAAATGGCCATCACAAGACAATGGTAATTTGGTGATGAGAAACAAGATTTTGGTTGGTTTTTAATTCCTCCGAATATGATCAATGAAGGATATATTAAACAATAATTGTAACTATTTTATATTTAAAATTAAATATTTAATCAAATAGCAATGGATTCCATTGTGTACCACTTACTTAGCTTCTTTAGTTCATTTTCTTTTTTACGCTCCTCTTCATGCCAACGCACATGTTTCACAAGAAGTATCAAATTATCAAAACTCTCAGAACATTTTGCGCAGACATACTTCATATCCTTGACTTCATTTTTATTTCTGTCTGTTACAGGGCATGTTAAAGATAAATCATCTTCATATTTGTCAGCATTCTTTATAACGCCACCAGGAAGAATTTCCAGTGTAGGCCAACTTTCAGGAGCTTTTTGCTTTAACATTTCTGCAGCCTGAAAATTGTTGATGTATAAAATTATACAGAGTAGTTACTCTGAATATCTTTCATAGTAAGTTAACTAACAGTCATTGAAAGTGGAAATTAAGGAGTGGGCTAAATAAACTGGCTTGGTATGTAGCCATATTGATACAATTCCCTACATTTTCTGTACATGGAAAAAATCTGTTTTTAATCTCGATATGATAAAATATGTGAATAAAATCAAAAAAAGGCTTGTATTTTGGGCTGTTAAAAATTTATTCTATCTGTACTCTTAATATGATATTTAATTTATATTCAATCATTACCTGCAACTTCAGATAAATAGATTTGGTTCAATTTAAGCAAAAACTGATGATTGAATAAAACCAGCTATACATAACATTAAAAGCTGTCCCCAAATGTAATTTATATTTCTGACTTCTCACAACTACTCCTTGTTAAGATATAGGGAAAACATATTTAATCAAGGAGTTGTTTTGCTAATATGTATGCACATTTTTAATCTACTTTTGTTTTTTTAATAACATTCTGGCATTACTGGCAGAATGTTATTGCTTGGCCGCTAATTGACAAACAAGTAAATTGCAATGTTACCACAGATATTTCTGTTATACAGATATTTATATTTAGGGCTGTAGGGCCACGCAGCAGCCTTGACTGTAGCATGAATAGGCAGGCTAGTCCGGGTTAGTACCACAACCTCACAGAAGACCGGCGTAAAGTGGAAGTATAATACTTTTGTGCTTCGTCTGGTGAGTGAGGTGGCCGGAGCCCAATTATCACAAGGTTGTCAATACATCTGCAACCCTCGGGTGTAGCAGATGTCTATGGGTGGCGGTATTCACTTAATATCATGTACCGTCTGCTCACTTGGCTAATTTTCACATTAAAAAAAATTAAAAAAAGGTATCATTTGTATAGATAGCACATCCACAAATGAATTCAAATAGAATGAGCTACTTGGAAAATCCAAATTTAAACAATAAAACTGAAGAAACAGTTGTGCTGTCACTGCAACAGTACTTGGTACATTGATTATTATACAAAAAATATTCCGAACCGTTACGACCTGGGAACCTTCAAGAAGAGAGCGTACTCATTCAAGCCCTCGGGTGTTGCAGATGTCCATGGGCGGCGGTGATCACTTACCATCAGGTGAGCCTCCTGCTCGTTCGCTGCTTTTTTCCCATAAAAAAAAATAAAAAAAAAAGTAACTAACTGAATGACTTTCATCTTGTCTAGGTTCTAATATATCAGGTACAATCAATTCGGCATTATCGCTGCTGTCGTCTTGGTAATCTATAACCTCCTCAGATTGTATGGATACCATACTGCCGATATTTGAGTCATCGTCATCGTTAAGAAGACACGCATCTTCAATGCTGTTGACACAATCAATTTGTTGTATGTTTAGCACTTCACAACTTCTGTCCGGCTGCACATCTTCCATTCGGACTAGCGGATGGTTTTCAAGATCTTCACTATTTTCCAAAGCACTTGTTGCTGACATTATTAAATGAAAAATAGCACTAAAATTATAAACACTACGATCAAGGCATTAGGGATTATCTGTTAACAAATTTACTAAGGTCTTATTGAATGCTAAAGTGGATAAAAGCTACTTTATGCTGATGAAAGCTAAAAGAGAACGTGAAAACATATTTCAATTTTCAATAACAAATCTGTGGAAACTTTCCAATTCGAATATAAATTTAATATGATAATTTGACAGTGACAAATAAACAGATGATGTCTGTGTTGCTGTTTGTGAGAACACTACAATAACATTGTTTTAAGAAAATACATCATTTTCTAAGTATAGTGATATAATCTAATAGTCTATTATTAGCCGTTGCGGCTTGGATAGCTTTGTCGTGGAGAAATCCACACTAACAGACTAATTAACGGACGTCACGCGGATTGAGATCAATGTAGCTGGTGCACGTGGACTATGCCGCCGTAAGCAGCCCAATTTATTATTCGGGTAAACTTGTATGAATTTTATTAACTACTTCTCAAAGTGCAATGCAATATGCCCGATGGTAGCAAAACCATCGGGCAGCCAGAGGACACATCGAATAGACATTGTCTGATATAAAACATCTCTGACCGCCAGGCAGAAGGCAATGTGATTGCGAAATAGAGAGAGGTACCTTCCATTGGAGAGTCCCTCGTGGAACACCATCCGAGCCTTCGGGTCAAATCGCTCTTTTCGATATCGAATAGAGTGCAATCTCTCTACGAGCCTTCCGCGGCGGTCTTGGCAGACTTCCTCTTGTTCTTGCCTCTTCCCTTCTTCTTTTGCTCTACATAAGCAAGACTTTTTGAAATTTCGTATATGAGATAACTAGCTTCGAAGAATGCCTCGATACTTTAACTTATCTCAACTTAAACAAAAACGCCAATTCATAGATATGATATTTCTACATACCCTAATCTCCAGTCGTTTCGATACCCCAGATTTTATATAAAAAATCTACGCATGCATGTATGTATCCTTGGTTAGAAAAAGGCATAGGTACTTTTTTGTAGTCATTTATTTGTTTTTGAGAAGTTTGCTGGTGTATCTCCAGAGTCCTAGTCCAATACCAATGAAATTAATATGGGAGCTATTATACAATGCAAAAAGAATTATTATAATCAGGTCATATAGGATGGAATTCTAAGGTAATAAATAGAAAAAAAAGAGAACCAAATAGAGAACCTCCTCCTTAGTCCTTTGAAAATTAAATGTAATTATTAATTAATTATTAATAAAATAAAATTAAAAAAATCTTGTTAAATACCCAGCCCAGAATCCTTGCTGTGCCTCAGCATAAATAAGACTTAATTTCAAAAAAATTATCTATAGGGCACAGTTTATGTGATACAATATTCTTTAAAGAAGACTACAACATTAATATGTTTATTGTTTATGTAAAGTATAATTCAAAGTACTTGATGACTCCGTGGCGCAGTTGCCAAGGTATTGGTATCGGCTGCGGGGGTCGTGGGTTCGATTCCCACACGTGACAACTATTTGTACAACCCCCAGATAGATGTTTCGCATCTGGTTGTTTCTCCATGTGAAATTTATGTTTGCAAAAACGTCCTTACAACATAGGATAATTTTATCCCAAAGTGAGGGCAATGTTTTACATATAAAAATATTAATACAGATTTATGCTATAATAGTATTCAATCATTTCCTCTATTTGAGCCTGAACATCATCACATCACTTTGTTTTATGCCAGGATACATCCAAAAGTATCACCTTTTGTGGATTATAGTAAGTTTTCATTACAAGGGAATGGACAGTGTTACAAACAGCACTATGAAACATTAAAATTTATTGTCCCGGTGAGTGTTAGCTTTAGTGGCTGTCTCCAAAAAATACTTTAAGCATCAATTTACCTCTAAAAGATTTTTACGTGAAAAGTAATCTGTAAAAGAGTTTGTTTTGACTCATTTTCGTTCATTTTGCCAGTACCGAGGTTGGCGAGGCCGTTGTGCCAAGCGATATCTGGCCAACCCTAGTATTAAAGTCACCCAATATGTGAAAACAATTTCCAGAAGGCAAGAAGCTAACGGTCTCAGTCAGTCATTCATAGAAACGATTCTTCACATTGGTGGTTTCATTTAAACTACGTAAACTTATGTCAGGGTTAGAAACCCATAATTAGTAGAGTCAAACAAAACATATTATTCAAATCTGCACTAAAATATTTACCTACTCAGAAAAGGTAGAAGTTAACTTTTCTTTGAGTCTGTATCTGGGAGTGTTTTGTAAAGGGCACAAATGGCAACTTTAAGCCAAGATATCATAGTTGAAGTGATACAACAATATTTAATGAAGGACTACAACATTAATCTCTTTATTGTTTATGTAAATTACCCAATACAAATTAATATGTTTGCATCATATGCCAATACGAAAAGCATAAATTAAAACAATTTCACGTAATATATTAAGGTTAATCTTCCACTGGAAAGTATAATTGCATTAATGTCTCATAGATATCAACATCAACTGGCATGAATGTGCAAAAGATGACCCTAGTCATGTCATCGTTAGATTCCAAAAATTTCCGAACTGTCCGTAGAGCAATGTGTGCGGCAAGACGGTTCGGAAAGTTATATATACCGGTTGAGATGCACGGGAATGCAATGGATCTAAAGTGGCATTCACTTTTAAGAGCAAGACAATTTTCGTAACATGACTGAAGTTTCGGAGCAGACCCATCTTGAGGGCCCACCGTATGGATTACATCTGAAACAGAAAATTATACAAACAGTTATATAATTAAAAAAGGAAAAAATGTCAGCTTATCGACCATGCAAGTTAATGGAGTTTTAATTTTCTTTTTACATATTCATTCAGAACATGATAAAAACATAGAGTAAAGAATCAATAAATATTAGTTTTTCTTAAAACGAAATAGGACATCTTATACAGTGTCAGTCACTGTAAGTAATGCCTAGTATATCTTTAATATAGTAATAATATCTGTCTTGTTTTGCTAATTATTGCAAACCTCGTCTTAATGCAGTGTAGGGGAGTAATTAATAAGTTTTACGAAAGCTGGAAATAAAAATGAAGAATTGTGCCAGACATTTTTAAGGATACTACTAACTACAAACAAAATGTATGGTTTCTCAAGAATGTGAATGCAATGTGGTATAAGTACATTACTACTATTTATGTTAATACATTTGCTTTCTAAACACGCTATGTGTTTATGACTGTCTTTTTAATTTAAATAGTCACACTGTAATTACTTTTAAATTACACAAATATGATTTAATAAAAGGAAAGCCATTACAATTTAAGCAAGGTATATATTGCGTGAGGACATGGCTGTATTGTTATTTGTGACTTTTAATTAAAATCAAATGAATACTTACACTTTGCAGGCAAATCATAACCACTTGTAGCTTTAGCCTCTCCAGTGGCACATCCTCCGAGTGAATTACATTCATCCTGTTAAGACACATAATTAGGGGAATTTTTTAAATTTCATTTTCTTTCATGTTTAATAAAAAAATATTTTAACATATGCAGGCAGTGCACCTGATGTTAAGTGAATACCACCACCCATAGACATCTACAACATCCGTTGGCTTGCAGATATATTGACAACCTTTAATAAAGTGGGCCCTGGTTACTTCTCACCTAACGAAATGCAGAAGTATATAGTTTTCTTCTACTTAAGCCAGTCTTTATGAGGTTGTCGTACTTACCCGGACGGACCTGCCTATTCATGCAAAAATGAAGATTGTTGTGTGGCCCTATGTGGATGTAGGTACAACTTTCTATTGACGTCAGTCCCAGATTTTTAACTTTTACTGAGTGATTTTTTCTTGCATAAAATAATAATAGTTTTAAGTATCTTTTTAAGGAAGATTCAAGAACTCACAAATACATGAATTGATATTAAATTTAGATCTATAACTACAAAAAATATATTATGTATATTACCTGGAGCAAAGGACCTGCTGCCCTGTGTATGGCACCATCAACACCACCCCCAGCCTTGAGACGTGAGTTTGCTGCGTTTACAATAGCATCTATCTAAAAGGCAAATTTACAATTATCAATTTAAAGAAATTATACACTCCATCAATGGATATACAGAAAAAAGTACAATAATTTATGGGTCTTTTATTTTCACTTTTGATCAGTGTCCTATAAGTAATTTCATATGGATATTTATCTATTAATATGAAATTATTCTTCTAATATCATACAAGATACGATTAAACGTTTGGTACCTTAAAAAATATTAAATGTTACCTCCAATTTTGTAATATCTCCTTTATAAATAGACACCCTTTCAGCAAGTTTCATATTCTTTGAAGGATCAATTTTACATTTTTTCAACTCGTTAAGATCATCTTGAGTACGGATTTTGGTTTTTATATGTTCGTTTTCTTTTGCATGCGTATACCAAGTATAGATGTTATCTAAAGTTATGTATTCGCATGTTCTATAAAGCTTCCTTTTCTCTTCTAATGGCAAATTTAGAATTCGATTTTTTTCAATCTTCCACTTGCCTTGTGTAGTCATTTTTATTAAAGAATAAGAGCGACGTGGACCGAAGTTTATAATCAAAGGAGGTACTTGAAGGATGTTTTTACAAAATTGTGCGCATTGGAAAGCCGGCGATAACATTTCCTCTTGCTTGATGTTTCAATTTGACGTTTCGTTCGTTACATTTAGTTACTTGAATATTTGAACTAACGTGTAATCATGGGTTATGTATTTAATTAAATAAAAATCTATGAACCCAAGCATGGATTATAACCTTAGGTTTTATAACATATTTTTAAGGAGTTTGATAAATAGACAATAAATGAAGGAAAAACTAGGAACAATGTCATTTTTTGGGAAGCGTCGGGTTATACGACTGGCAACAATCTTTTTTTGTCAAAATCGGCAAACGGAATTTCTCCACGTAACGAAGCGTGTGTTTTATCGTTTATAATTGAATGAAACTAGCGTTCTAAGGTGCGTCGTTTGAAATGATTTTGTAAAAAATACAATTTCCTCTAAATTAGTGTATCGTCTTGTCGCTAAACAGTCCATATAACAGGTAATTTTAAAACATTTTATATTTTAAGTGTCATTGTCAACCGGTCTTTATATTATCAAAGACAACATATTAATACAACTATTGTTATTTTTACAGAATGAAGGCGCTAGGTCTTCTTTTGGTCTTTACGTCGTTCGCGATTTTCAATATTCTAGGAGTAGATAGGAATAACTTCAAAACTTGTGATCAATCCGGTTTTTGTAAACGACTGAGACCATTCAAGCCTGAAAAATCACAGTACACTCTAAATTTGGATTCTGTCATAGTTCACGGAAATGTCTTGTCCGCTGAGGTTACGACTGTCAATTCTGAAGCCGAAAAGAAAATTCCACTGGTATGCATGTTATTGTAAAATAATACATATTTTATTACCCATAAATTAGTATACATAATCCTGCCTTTAAAATTTTTATAGTCCAAATTGCTGTCTTTTGGCACTTGTCCATCATAATGCAGTTTTAAATTATTTAAATGATTGTTTAGCAATTGTGACATAGGTGAATTCGGTAAAAATTTCCATAAGTTTCCGGGTGTTTTCGACCAAACAAAAATTTTATTCGGTTAAGAAAAATCTAACCTAACCTAACCTATCCGAGTCGGATCGGTCTGTGTCGGATCTGTCACTCTTTAAATAAAAAGAAAATTAATCTTCGCCCACTTCCTTATATATATTATATTTTTCATGTTGGCGGTACTGTGTATTCAGTTTTTGAAGTCAAATTCGTAAAAATGGTAAACTTTCTTAGTGAAAATTACGTTTTAAATAATTTTTTTTCTCGAAAACTATAAGCGACCGCCAAATTATGCTTGGTGAGTATTTTATTAATGATTTTTCTGTACCTAATTACATTTTTTTTACGTCGAAAAACACCTGGAAACTTAAAGAAACTAATACAGTGAATTCTTTTATTAAATATTATTTATAAAGTAACATATCTGACAATACTAGTTCTTTAAATAGTAACAATACAATCACATTCATTATAGCTGCTTTAATTAAGCTTTAAATTACTCACTGTATACAACCAAAACTTAAGTGCAAACTTGTGAGTGTACTGGCATAGTTAAAGTTTATAAGGTGAAGAACTTCAGAAACCTAAAGTTTATGCATTATATATTAAAAATGCATAAAATTAATTAATTAAGAATTCATTCTTTACATTTACACTGTCAATATATTATATAAAAAAAAATTTCTTTAATATAACCTATACATAATCCATTCTTTTCATAAACATTTTGCAGTGGCGGTATGCCTTGAGGCTGTCAGCTCTAGTTGATGGCACTTTCAGGATTGAATTGGATGAAGCTGAACCTCTGTATCCTCGATACAGAACACAGTTAGCGTTAAATGGGGACCCCAAACCTGACGGGTCAGTAGTTTCATAACAAATTGATTAAAACCTTGCGTTTAATTTTTTGAATATATTTAGGTAAAAAGAAAATGCGTCTTAGTAGCCAAGGTACTGTCTTCAGAAATGGGGGAATACAAAAATCTCTTTTTTTTGGTGTTCTGAAGGCGTCTAGGTTTGGAAATAATTAAGAAATTATACTATTAACACCATTTCAGGACAGACACAGTATCAAGGAACATAAGACCACTATAAATAAATGCCTATAGTGTTCTTATATCGTAAAAAAGTATTGTGATTTTTTTTTATACTTAAATAAATCTCTTTGTATAATATTGTCAAAGTTATCTAAAATAAATTAATCACAGACAATATACAAAGTTATCTAAAATCTTTTTTGTCTTTTTGAACAACACAAAATAAAACAAAACTGTTTTTTTGGAAAATTCTATAGTACCTAATTAACTTTGTTATCTGGAGTTAAGATTTGTTTTATCATTTCCTGCTTACTAAATGAAAGAAAGAAAGAAAAATTTTTATTTGGTACATAAACGTAAATAAACCTTTAATATAATTTAAGTGTTCTTAGCTTGGTGAAATTTGACAAAACGAAATAGAAGATATTTAAATTTTCCATTTCATACATATTCTTCAAAATCAATCCTGGGCTTACACAATATTAAACATACAAAATTCTCTCTGCATTATTATTTATGGATATTTTCTTTGTTATAAATTTGAATAAAGGTCTGTAATAAAAACTACATGTCTAGTTTTATTCACACCTATTTGTAACTGATATTTCACTTTGAAGTTGCATAGTTAACGGATGCTCTTAGCATAAGTTATTATTTCCTGTTAGTGTTAATATAAATAGCAACCATTTTGTTTCAGATTAAAACTTGTGTCAAATGAGAATGGAAAACTGACATTGTCAAATAAACAAGGCCATAAAGTTGTAATCACAGCTGAGCCCCTCAAGTTTGAATTTCTCGATAAAAACGGTGACGTTGCGGTTGTGGTGAACGAGAATTCTCAACTGCTGGTGGAACCGCTTCGGGTGAGGAGGGAGAAGACAGAGGATGAGGAATTGGGAATCGCAGAGGGCAATGCTTTGGAAGGCGTGAGTGTTGCTTTATTATGCTTTATGTTGCGTTGTTCAGACAGTTGATGTTTAAGAGGTGTTTTCCAGCATACAAACAATTTGAATATAGCCGCGCCAAGCATTGCTTCAAATGCTACAAAACAATGTAAATAAAAGGAGTTGAGATTATCGTTGGTGTGGCGTTCAGCCGTTTAGCTTAGTGGCTAAAGCTTCAGGGCGCGAATGCCAAAGACGTGGGACACGATTCACACAGCGGCGAAAAACTTTTCGTAGTTTATTATTTTCCCTGTTCAAATATTAATTGATAGTACGGAACCCTCAGTGTGCAGGTCTAACTCTCACTTGACACAATTTCTTCTGTATATCCTATAGACCAGTTTGATATGAGAATCTGTGCTTTATCATAAATAATCTTGCTACTATGTATTTTATAATACAATCAGCAAATTTAATCCCAGATGATAGTTTGGAAGCTGTTTTTTTTTTTAAATTTAACAAACGTAAACTTAAAAGCCAGCTATTTGAATTCGATCAAATTCATGTTGAGTAAACCCAGGTTGATAACAAAAGATACACAAAAAAAATTATTTCGTTTTTTGTCGTACAACAGTCGTGACCAAATAATATATCACCTCAACTTGATCGTGTTTTTTTTCACCCACCTGCGGCAGAAGCACTGAAGGAGGATTGTTGTTGATCTGTATGTACCGATATGTGTAATATCGGTTCCCAAGTTCCCTCATAACTCCTAAACGGCTAGATAAATTTTGATGATTGTCCGTAGATTCATCTCTAGCGCCCAATGCGGCATTTTGGCGTCAATAATATGTATGTATGTGCTTTCGAAAAAATACTCAGCGTCGCGATATTTTAGTGCTTTTTAAATCTAAGTCTGTGAAACATCACAAGGTGATTACAAGTAACATTCTATTGTATTGCATCCTTGACTTTTTTAAATGCGAGTTTGTTAAGTTTTTATTTATTAAATAATTATTTCATAGCTCTTTTACCGCGGACGCCCCTCGTATATAAGCTTCATCGGGCACAGAGCTTGATAGACCCTACCTCGGCAAAGTCACGCATGTGGAAATGCGTGCATTAACAAAATGAGAATTGAATATTGTTACGATTGAATGTATTGCATATAATACAATTTATTATATATAATCCATTTATACAGCGTGTCCTTACCATCGCGACAATAAATGAACACACGTCTAACGCTACTTGCCAATAAACATAAAAAATATTAACGTTAAAAAAATCCATAATTAAAAAAAAAAATTTCAAACAAACTAATTAAGTAAAAAAGAAACAAAATTTCTAACATCCTATACAACTGCAACTGACTGATTCATACATTCAGAGACTTTCATTCGTTGCCACAACGTTGCATTAAAAGCCTCTCCTTCTAACAGTATGTTTTGTCTCTTTTAAATTGATTCAACTCATTCCAATGCTTTGTGACCTTTACAAATGAACTTTACGTTACAGTTTTATAGTAAGGGTGTTCTAAAATTCTTTGTTTTGAAAAATTTAATAACTCTGTAAATATTGATTTTTAAAGAATGTAAATGTTTCAATACAATTTAAAAAAGTTATCCTCTATATGTGTGTTCATTTATTGTCGCGATTGTAAAGACACGCTGTATAATACACTTTAAATAGAACTGGAGCTCTTAACTATTTTGTGTTTGTATGTTGGAAGCCGAATAAGATTTAGGTTATGTTTAACTCTTGTAATTCTCAGATAATATACCTAAAAGATGAAAATATATAAATCAGTGCACTAGTTGAATACAAATAAACAGTTTGATCTCCTTATATTATTAGATTAAAGTGTCAGCTTTAAGTAGAGGAAGTGCCAATTTCAGTCTAATCTAACCCTCGACCGACTTACACAGTTCACGCGAGATTCAGTGTCAATGATCTCACATTTTATCTTGCTACGTGACTGATAAAACTTTATTGATATATCTCGTGCTGCTATATTATTTTTATCCAAAGGTCACACTTGACACTTCTTTGAATCATTGCTATGATTAATACTGACATTCATAAGGATGTCTGTTTTAAAATATCAGAGATTTAAAAAGTGTAGTTACTTTTTAATTCTGTCGTTAAGAACGAAATTATATAAAACTACCCTATACCAACGACTTCGCCTACGTTGCTTATTATGTTAACAAGTATATGGCTTGCCCATTTCTCAACGGCAAGAAAACACACATCACTGAGCATGTAGTTTATAAAAATCGTTGTTTCTTATAAACGCGAAAGTATAATACTACCCCTTAACGCGCGGTAATCTGTGAAGTGGCAATATTTCCCCGGAAGAGCCCACCCATTCGTGCAGTTGTATAAAATGCTGCGTTCCTGAACCATATGTCGAAGATTATTTATCTAATATATAAAGTTCTCGTGTCACGGTGTTTGTAATTGAACTCTCAGAACCGGCTCGGAGGGGTGAACCAGGGTGGACCAGGGTGGGGAATCTGGCAACATCTATTTTTCATCCCCCTAAACGTTTACGTTACGGGTGGTCCACCCCAAACATTTTTTTCTACCCTACAAATAATTTATATAGCAAGACAACGTTTGCCGGGTCAGCTAGTAGTCTATAAAATACTTAATTGATATTATTATTTATTGATTACTTATTGAGGGTATATGAAAGATCCCTGACTATCAGCTTTATTGTGCTAGCTAGATTATTATTTGTCATCATGTTTTAATTAGTTTAAAAAAATGTCCGTATATAAATTATAATTAATCTGGTTACTATCAGTTATCCCAAATTTTATTATATAGATTCAATTCAAAACACTTGTTTCACTAGGGTTAGAAACAAAGGATTCGCTAAGTATTTTTCTGTTCAAAAAACTATTTAGATAACCACAAACAACGGAAAACATACATGTATGCACATTAAAAGGTATGACTTGGTCACTAATGTAGACCGTATTTATTACACATTAATATCGCATCTAATTACGTTTTAATTAATCGTCTACGTGAGGTCAACGGGTCGAATGTAAAATGTTAACGATTATAAAGTTGTTATGTTTACTTGCTTTAATAGTAATGTCACCATGTTTATAGAGAAGTACTCTGTTCATGCACTTCTATTATGTTAATTTAAGCCAAATGCATGTGCATTAAGGCCCATTTACACGGTGCCAGTTTCTTGCCTGTTGTATACAATTAAATTGAAGCAATGTTGCAATTAAACTATGGTCTAACCAATTATTGCGCGCAATTTATTGCATTCAATTATTGCTCTTGCATGTACAAGAAAATGGCATCGTGTTTGAAGTGGCAATTAACTATGATACAATCTGATTATTATTGCGTCTGTTTGAAATTGTATAGATTGATAACTGTCATTGCTTCTTTCACGATCTTTTTGTTTATTACAAAGGACTAATGAGCTAATACGTTGTAGTAAACATTTTGATATAAAATAAAGAATCGACTGTTCTGTGTACACGAAGGAACAACAAACCGGATACTAAGAATAGTCCAAAGTCACTGCTTTGAACTCTCTACACAGGATTTGCGACGCGGCAAACTATTTCTCCGGCGGGATGTGGTCTCGTCATTTACGAAGGAGCTAGTTCGTGAATTAAAAAAAAACACTGACAAGGTTCGCCACCTATTTGGGCCCAAGCCAATGCAATTAAAGCTAATAACAAACAAACATTACCAATAAATCATCTTTGTCTACCCCATTAGAGGTGACAAAGGTAAGCGCTTATTGTCTGTAATGATTTTCCATATGATTGGTCTGCACTCATTCTTTATCTACGCTTTTGTGACGCGTGACGAGCGCATTGATATAGTTTTTGCGTAATTTGTCGAGCCTTCTGTTTGTCTCGCGATTAGTGTCGTTCTTGCTTCAAGTTCAACGGTTCATTGTCCTTAGGTTTCTTACCAACAGTCGTCTGTATGTTTCTCATGATGGTAGACCTTGTATGCAGCGTTGCCAATTGTTAAAAAAAATACCCCCAAAGCAGCCGCTCACTACCGAACCATCAAATTCCGCCGAAAAACCCACTAAAATTCGCTAAAAACTTACTAAATAAGAAACAGCTGGGATGTTTTCGTTTGAATTTACCTCCTAAAAAACTTCCATTATTATATTTTTTTTATGAAGAAAACTAAGATGGCATCCGTGCTTGTATATCCGTAATGTTGCACGTTCAATCAATGGAGAATTTAGTGCTACTCACAAATATTGTTCTGTGGTAGGGCCACGCTACACTGTTCACTGTTGTACGTTAAAGTGGCAATTGAGCTGCCTTCGCTTTATTTTAAGTGATAACCGCCGCCCATGGACTTTTGCAACATCCATAGGGTTGCAAATGCGTTGCCACCTTTAAACAAAGTGGGCCCCGGCTACCTCACTCACCAGACGAAACGCAGAACCAACACTTCTACTTTACGCCGGTCTTCTGTGAGGTCGTGGTACTTACCCGGACGGACGTGCCCATTCGTGCAACAGCGGAGGCTGTTGCGTAGCCCTACCACAATTGCGTGGCCTTTTATGAAGAGTTTCGCTTTTGGATGCGTGATAAATACCGAGAAAGATCTGGGTGGACTGTGTGAAGAATGATATGTCTGTGAAAGGAGTTGGTATTGAGATGATGGCTGATAGAGGAAATTGGGAGGAAGGGACCTGTTGTGCCGACCCAACCTAGTGTGGAATAAATAACGGTAGAAAAGAAAGAAGAAAGAAAGAAAGAAAATACATTTATTTACCAAAAAAAGGAGGACGCACACAATAAAAGAGAAAGAAAAACAAAAATTAACAAAAAATAAAAGAAATAAAAAAATACTCATAAATAATTCAGTAATGCAAAAGAACACGAACACATAATTAAAATATAAAACAATTCTTTTTTATTTTTTTTATTTTAGGACACATTTTTACACAACATTCTCTAGTCCCAAACTGAGCAAAGCTTGTACTATGGGTAGTAGAAAACTGATAAACATTCTTAAACATACTTTTCTTTTGTAAATAAATACATAGTATACATATATAAACACCCTGACACTAGAAAAACACTATGTTCATCACACAATATTTCTCCAGTTGTGGGGATCGAACCCACACCCTCTGGCGCAGGAGGCAGACCCACTACGCCATTCGGGTCAGAATGAAAAAGGACTAACAAACCAAAAATATTGTACGCCCTATTCCGGTAAATTAGGTTAGCAGCTCAGCATTATGCTATGCCGGAAGTCAAGGCCCCAACACAGCTGATTTTCAGTGCTAGCAGGAGAAAGAAGAGATGCGCGATAGCTGATCATGGGTGGTTCTTTTGTTAAGGAGGATGAGGGGGCCTGGGGCGAGAGCTTCAAATCGCACCACGACAGCAAGCCGCGTGGCAACGAGGCGGTCTCGATCGACGTCGCCTTCCCCGACGCCGACCACGTGTACGGTGAGTTTGGCTAGTGGCTACCATTGTAGCATCAACTTAGGCAATCTCGCATAACGGGTGTACAATGAGTTTTCCTAAGTCTTTTTATATGTGACAAGTTGCCAAGCGAGCAGGCGGTTCACCTGATGCTAAGTGACAACCGCCCGCCCATGGACATTTGCAACACCCGTAGAGTTGCAGATGCGTTGCCACCTCTAGATAATGTGGACCGCGGCTACCTCACTCGCCAGACGAAACGCAGAAGTGCAACACTTCTACTTTAAGCCGGTCTTCTGTGAGGTCGTGGTACTCACCCGGACGTGCCTTCCCATTCGTGCAACAGCCGTGGCTACTGCGTGGCCCTACCACAGTTATCTGTAACTATTCCAACAACAACTTCTCCAATATCGCCGAACGGTGCTGTACGGTTACGGCCATTCTGTAGAACTCTGTTCAGAACGTCTAGCACAGCGGACATTATACTTATGTATGTTTATCCAACATCGACTTCTTAAGCATCTATAGGTCTTGCAAAATAATAACTTTTACAGATTCAATCCCACGAGACCTTTGAGTATTGCCCAAACAAACTTTCAAAATCTTTGAACCTTATTGAAGCTGTATAAAAATTAATTTAAATATCAAGTAAAATCTCAAATTCAAAAACAACGGACATATTATTAATCAATCGACGCCGCATAAAAGTTTGGAGGGGAGGAGTTAATTTATTCGTATTTTTAAAATAATCCTAAATTATGCCTGAAAATTTATATTACATATCCTTACTTCCTTACTAATATTATAAAGGCGAAAGTTTGTATGTATGGATGGATGTTTGTTACTCTTTCACGCCAATACTACTGAATGGCTATTAATGAAACTTTACAATAATATAGCTAATACATCAGAATAAGATATAGGGTATAATTTATATACATATTTTATGTAAATCTGTCTTTATGTCTGAATGTTACGCCATCAGTCTATTCTACGCAGACGTAGTCGCGGGCATCAGGTAGTTCATACATAATGTGCACGTGAAGTTTATGTTTGTAAAATGTCTTTACAACACAGGATAATGTTGTCCTGAATAAGTCTTCAACACCTAAAGATTACATAAATAACGGTCACCTACCTACTTTCCTCAGGCATCCCAGAACACACGGACAAGTTCGCCCTCAGCACGACCACCTCCGGCGAGCCGTACCGCTTGTACAACCTGGACGTGTTCGAGTACGAGCTGGACAGCCGGATGGCGATATACGGGGCGGTGCCGGTGCTCTACGCGCACGGGTGGGCTCCGAAACAACAAAGGCTACAACAACAGAGACTACGACAACAAAAACAACCGTGAACTAAAACAGAAACTACTACATCAACAACACATAATCTACAACAACAACACAATGACTACGAAAACAGCAAAAAAGCCTTATTAACTTTAACCTCACTACAGACTCTTTGATAGATGGAGCATTATAGTCCTTCCACAAAGACAGACACCGATACTGACAATTACTTATACATCGTTATTACACGATATATTATGTATTTATTACGTTAATAAACTTTAAAAGTTGTAATTTCTGTATTGGTAGTGATAAGTCGATTTCGGAAAACGTATCTAATGAAATACATAATTCGTTTCTTGCGTAGGCTATATTTTAGTTTTTTGAGAATATTGTTGGTGGTAAAACTATTTTTTTTTTCTTTTACTTATATCGATCCTTTTTTCCAATCTATGCAGGTCGAAGCGTACGGTCGGCGTTTTCTGGCACAATTCAGCGGAGACCTGGGTGGACGTGGTGAATTATGCCGACGGCACCGTCGTCTCCTCCTTGGTCAACTTGGTCACGGGTGGTCACAAGAGGCGCGTGGACGCTAGGTAAGGTTGCGTTCATAAATATATATTTATACGGTGGTAGGGCCAGCAACAGCCTCGGCCGTTGCACAAATGGGCAGGCCCGTCCGGGTAAGTACCATGACCTCACAGAAGACCAGCGTTAAGTGGAAGTATGACAAATACTTTCGTGTTTTGTATGGTGAGTGAGGTAGCCGGAGCCCAATTTTCAAAAGGTTGTCAACGCATCTGTAACCCTCGGGTGTAGCAGATGTCCATGGGCGGCGGTTTTCACTTAACATCAGGTGCACCGTCTGTTTGGCTACTTTTCACATAAAAAAAAATTAGGACACATTTTGACACAAAGTTATCTACTCCGAAACTAAGCAACACTTGTACTATGGGTACTAGATAACTGATAAAAATTCATAACTATTATTTTCTTTTGTAAACAAATACATATTACACATATACTAGCTGACCCGGCAAACGTTATTTTGCCATATAAATTATTTGTAGGCTAGAAAAATATGTTTGGGGTGGACCACCCTTAACATTTAGGGGGATGAAAAATAGATGTTGTCCGATTCTCCACCCTGGCCAATTTATATTTTCAATTTTGTGACTTTATTTTGCAATGATTATTTATTTGCAATTATCTTAGTTAAACATTTCGACATTTAGGGTTAAATATGTTGCAATTAACTCTACTTATTAGAATTTTTAATAGTTGTCTAAATATATAAAATTTTAAAAACTTATGGGGGCATGCAGGTGATGTCGAAATAATATTTATTTTGCAAAAAAGGGCCCTAAGAGATTTACATAATGTAAATACTAGGACCACACCCAAGCATGTAACTCCAGATAATTGAGAAAGGTGGTTTATTTTAAGTCTGAAAGGTTCATCTAGTTCTTCTGATAGAATATAAATTAATTCCCGATTCTTTCATTTCGATAACAACATATTTGACAGAATTATCTCAGTAACCCTAACAAATATAAACTTTAATAATTGTAATATATTATTCGCTTTTCGTTCTCCCCAACAGGTTTATAAGTGAGTCCGGCATCGTTGATCTGTTTGTCATGATGGGAGATACTCCGGCAGATGTCTTCAGGCAGTACACAACTCTTACTGGTGTCGCCCCACTACCTCCTGTGAGTACCTTTTATATATATATTCTTTATTGGTCCATATGTAATAACTTTTTGTATTTAAATATAAATATTTATATGTGTATAGTAATTTGTATTTAATAAGTGATTCAAAGAGATCTAAGAGAATTCCTCCGTCCAAATATAATTTAAACTTCAACAATGCCACCGTGAATAGGTTTCTACTGAACTAGTTTGTTGATACCAATCACTTGGTGCGATGACAGTTCCGTATAGACCCTTTTTATGAAAAGAAACACTAGTGTTATTATAACTTATACATGAAACATCATTAAAGCTGAAATGCAACTTTATTTACTAGGGCACAATCTCAAAATAGTCATAAACCTACTTATGTACAGTCGTCACTAGCAAAACATAGCTTAAGGGTTAAAACCTTTACTTATGTCCCTGCGGAAATCTCCCCGCTCTCCCATCAATCGCCCAAATACTCAAAAACCGACCTTAGAACCCCTCGAGAGTTCAGTGATACATTTTTAAAAGTCTCACTCTCACAGTCAAAATGAACCTTATCACCTGTGTCTTAAGAGTTAAAACCCCCCGTCCGCAGAAATTCTCGCTGGCCTACCACCAGTCGCGCTGGAACTACGTGGACGAGGCGGATGTGCGTTCGGTGGACGAGAACTTCGACGCGCACGACATTCCCGCCGACGTCATCTGGCTGGACATCGAGTACACCGACAGGAAGAAGTGAGTAGAGAGAGAGAGAGAGACAGACGCTAAGACGGAAAGTGGGCGGGGGTGACAGAGAGAGAAATATGGAGTGATTCAAAACAAATAGGGAAGGTGACAAGGGAATTAATGTGTATTTACTTTTGTGTGATCGTTTACTTTTAAACTGACCTCTGGCTAAAATTACTCTGCAATAGAGCGTTTTTTTTTTTTTCAATGTTATCGTCCTACCACATTTAAATACTGTAGAGGAGGTTGAATTTAAAATTGCAGATCACGTTATTCGTCCATCTCTGAGCTGAACCCTTTATTCATCTCCCTTATTACAAAAATCAAGACCGAAAATTTTATATGGTGAACATTGATTCGACCGCTTCCTCAGGTATTTCACTTGGGACCTGGAGAAGTTCCCGCACCCTGGCGATATGGTGGCTAACCTGACCGCAAAGGGGAGACGGCTGGTGGTGATAATCGACCCCCACATTAAGAGGGAGGCGGGCTACTTCGTCCACGAGGACGCGATGGAGAACGGATTGTACGTGAAAGACAAGGACGGCAACGTTTACGAAGGTGCGTTTTAGATTTGACAACGTATGTAGGGGAAAGTGGACCTGTCTCTTGCTCAAGAGGGTGTGGGTTCGATCCCCACTGCTGGGAAAGTGTTGTGTAAAAGACATGATCTTTCTAGGGTACTGGGTGTTTATATATTTATGTATATGTATTTATTTATTTTCACTCACATACGTTAGAAGCTTTAATTAGTTGATATGATTAATCAATGATCCCTTAGTTATCAAAATAATTTTTTGCCAACTAATGCAAGAAGCTTTGGAAACTATCCAAGTTAATTGATTCCCTCTTTAATCAAGTATCAGAGATCGTTAAACACTGACTGTGTCTATTATTCAATTAAAGATGATCATTTAAAGTATGAAGATTCCGAACCAAATATAAGAAAACATTGTATTAAATTAGTATTATATTGTATGCAGATGGCTGTGATAGATCAGCTTTCGGGCTCTCAGTTTTTAACGCTTTTTCACGCGGGCTCCGCCGCAGTGTACTATGCCCTAATACCCTCTGTACAGAGAGTGCCTTTGCCCAGCAGTGCGACATATACAGCGTGTCGTTACCATCGCGACAATAAATGAACACACATATAGGGGATAAGTTTTTAAAGTTATATTAAACATTTAAATTCTTTAAACATCAATATTTACAGAGTTATTTAATTTTCCAAACAAAGAATTTTAGAACACCCTTACCTATAAAAGCGTAACGTAAAGTTCATTTGTAAAGGTCACAAAGCATATGAATGGGTTGAATGAATTTAAAAGAGACAAAACATACTGTTAGAAGGAGAGGCTTGTAATGCGACGCTGTGGCGCGAGTTGTATAGGTTACAAATTTTGTTTCTTTTTTACTTAATTAGTTTGTTTGAAAAATTTTTTTTTTTAATTAAAATTTTTTTTTTTTTTTTTATGATTATTGGCACGTATGAAAAAAATTTTATTTTAATTATGGAATTTGTTTAACGTTAATATTTTTTTATGATTATTGGCACGTAGCGTTAGACGTGTGTTAATTTACTGTCGCGATGGTAACGACACGCTGTATACTGTTAGTTTTATATTGTTTCAATAATGGTATTCCATTGAAGGTTGGTGCTGGCCCGGCTCATCCTCATACCTGGACTTCTTCCAACCGGCCGCTAGCAAATACTACTCGGAGCGTTACAGGTTCGAGAACTTCCCGGGCACCAGCAAGGACGTCCACATCTGGAACGACATGAACGAACCCAGCGTGAGTAAAAATAATACTAATATAATTGTTTGTGTGACCAACAGACAGTTGTTTCGCATCTGGGTGTTTATCCATGTGAAATTTATGTTTGTAAGAACGTCATACATCACAGGATAATTTTATCCTAAAGTGAGGGCAATGTTTTACATAAAAAAAATTATTAATACAGATTTATACTAAAATAGTATTCAATCATTTCCTTTATTTGAGCCCGAACAACGTCACATCAATTTTTTTTTATGCAAGGATACATCCAAAAGTATCTCCTTTCGAGGATTATAGCAAGTTTTCATCACAAGGGATTTTTGTAAAACGTCCTTACAACACAAAATAATGTCATTCTACAATAAGGGGCTTCTTTTTAATCTTTTTAAAAAAAAGTTAAAAAAAACCATCCCTTAGTAACAATAACAAGCTAACGAAATCGTGTGCGCAGGTGTTCAACGGACCGGAGATAACGATGCCGAAGGATTGCCGCCACTACAAACCGCCGCAGGACGGCCAGGACGGACTGGCCTCTTTCTGGGAGCACAGGTCCGCTATACCTCGCTCATTAAACTTTGCGACTTTAACTATCGATTGATATGTATTGTATGTAATAAATATTATACTAATACATATTTTCGGACACATCTCTAAACTTCTATGGTCCCAAACTAAGCAACGCTTGTACTATGGGTGCTAGATAACTGATAAACACATTTCAACGCACTATTCTTTTGTAAAAAATACACAATAATACGTATATAAACACCCAGACACTGGAAAAACACCATGGTTATCACACAATATTTTTCCAGAAGTGGGGATGGAACCCACACCCTCTAACGCAGGAGGCAGATACACTACCCATTACGCCATTCGGGTCGCCCATAATGCACTTATGATAATAATTGTATGCAATAATAATAACGGATATAGAAAATGGATGGTTAAGTTTTTGTAACAGTAAGGAATGAGCCTCGGGACTATCGTTTTAATACATTTAGATTTTGCATTAATCCCTTTAATTTCCCAAATTATCTTGTTTACGTTATTTCGTAACTCTTAAAGGCTATTAAGTAATAATAGATTCTGTTTATAGCCCTCGGAATAAGGCAGGGATGCTGGGTCGAACTAAACACCGGCTTTGAGCTGAAAAATTGTCGCATCGAGTATTGCTCAGTCGGTTTTTATCCCGTCCAACAGGCATGCTCACAGTTATCTATTCACTAATAAGCCTAAGCAGGATGCTGGATCGGTTTAAACATCGACTTTGGGTTAAACAATTTGCGCATCGAGTATTGCTCAGTCTGTGTATTCTCCCACAGGCACGTGCACAACGAATACGGGCTGTGGCAGGTGCGTGCCACCCACCAGGGCATGCTGGACCGCTCCGACTCCAAGTACAGGCCGTTCATACTGACCCGTTCCACTTTCGCCGGCACCCAGAGGTGGGTACAAGTTTGTTCTCGTATCGTATATTGTGTAGAAGGGGTTGGGTAGTAACTGCCAACCTAACGATAGGATAACATGATCCTGTGGTGTAAAGAGGTTTTACGTACATAAATTTCCCATGGAATATCATCCGATTTGAAACAATTATCAACAGATAGTTGTCTCGCTGTCATCGAGACACTAACAAGTTTGTATACTCGGCATAGCAAAACATAATAGACTTTTGTCCCACAGGATATGAATCAGAACTCTAACGCCCGGTTTCTGAATCACTGATCATTGTAGAAGATTAAGAAGATCATTCTAGGCAATTCAGAGAGTTTAGCTATCCTTTTGGCAATTAAAATGAAATTTGAAAAGCCCTTTGACAGCTGATTAGTTGCCATCTACGATGATCAGTGTTTCAGAAACTGGGCGTTAAACTTCCATACTTAATTATGTGAACACCCATATGACAAGATATTTGTTCCACTGTGGTCTTTGCTGTAGCCCAATTGGGCATGCTCGTCTGGGGAAGTACTACGGTCGCACAGAAACTTGTCGTGAATTGAAATTATTATACCATATCTGCGCTTCATTTGGTGAGTGAGGTAACTAGAGACCAATTAACAAAAGTTTATCAGGATGTAGTGAAAGCTAATGGTAGGTGCAGCGAGGGATACAAAAATAAAAAATCTTATTATAAAAGGAAAATAAAATAAGACGTATTATACTTACAAAATATATATAAGGAAAATATAAAAACTAACAGTTTAAATTATACTAAACTATAGATAAAAATATATGTTTATATCTTTATATATATAATTCTTGTGTACGTGTGTATGTCACTGAACTCCTAAACGGCTGGACCGATTATAATGAATTTTTTGTGTGTTCATTCATTCAGTCATGGTTTACATTCACAAAGTTATTCCAAAAAGTTTGAAATTTTCGAATTTAAGACGTATTTGTACGGGACAATGTCTGTCGGGTCCGTCGGTTGTATGCGTAAAAAAAGAAAAGAAAAAGAAGAAAGTAATTTTAAAGATACGCGGCGGTGTGGACGGGCGACAACGCGGCCGAGTGGGGCTTCCTGCAGGCGTCCGTCCCCATGTGCCTCTCTTTGGCCTCGGCGGGGATCAGCTTCTGCGGCTCCGACGTGGGCGGGTTCTTCAAGTACCCCGACGCGGAGCTCATGACCAGGTGGTACCAGGTGAGCGGAGCGCTTAGGGCTGGCAAAACAGGAACGGTCGCGTGTTTTAGGGCTGGCACAAGAAATTTTGACACGTTCCGTATGTGCAGGCCGGCGCTTACCAGGCGTTCTTCCGGGCCCACTCGCACATCGAGACCAAGAGGCGGGAGCCGTGGCTGTACGAGGCCGCTACAATGGGGCTGCTGCGTGACGCCGTCCGCCGCCGTTACGCGCTTCTCGACTTCTGGTGGGAATAAGCACACACACACATGGATATACACACAAATAGAGAGGGGGCGAGAGAGGAACACAAACATTTAACTGTGGCAGGGCCACGCAACGGTTTGCTGTTGCACGAATGGGCAGTACCGTCCGGGGAAGTACCGCGACCGCACAGTAGACCGGGCACAGTGGGTCGAAACTGCTATATGAGGGACATAGGACTTTTTGTTACAAATTCCATTTACATTTTTAACTTTTTTTGAAAGATCTTGTCATTGTGATGAACAATTATTTCGTATTTTCTCTACGTAAAACTGACACCTTGCGGTTTTTTCTTAAATGAAATTTCAAAGCTATATTGTACATATAAATAAATTAATAATGATCAATTGTTGTTGTACACAGGTACACACTGTTCTATGAGCACACTTTAGATGGTACCCCAGTTATGAGGCCCTTATTCCAAGAGTACCCGAAGGAAGAAGAAACCTTCACTATCGATGACCAGTACCTATTGGGTGAGTTATTCCACAAGCTTGTTAGATAAATTGAAATAACAATTAGATTTATTTAACATTTAGCATAAGATTTGCTTCCAAACAGCAGAAAGAAAATTTTATTTGGTACATAAATAAATTAAATTTGTTTCCACTTAGCATGATTTCACGGTGTTAGTAAACTTCGTGAATTGCCGATTTTAGATGATAGACGGCGTAACAAAATAGTAATATATTGCCCAACATATAACAAACCAGAAAGCAAATTTAAATGAAATTAAAAGCAATAACAAAAAAAAGGCCAAGTGTGAGTCGAACTCCGTTCTCGTACCATTAACTATCAAAATGGCAAAAAAAATAATGTCATAGGTGTGGGAGCCCCACATAAATATTATTTTTATTGTTGTTTTAGCGGCAACCGAAATACATTATCTGTGAACATTGCACATGTATATCACGGATCATGAAATACAGACTGGTGACAAACGGACAGCCAGACAGACAGACAGCGGTCTCTTAGTAATAGGATCCCGTTTTACCCCTTCGGAACAAGATATGAAAAAAAAAACTAAGGGCCACTCATTGTATACGTCGTGAACATATGGCGATTTTCAGGCGACAAGCTGTTGGTGCGGCCGGTCCTGGAGGCTGGGGCGAAGAGTGTGAAGGTGTACCTGCCCGGGAAGGAGTCCAACACCCTGTGGTACGACGTGGACAACTACCAAGTGCACAAGGCACAGGGCTACTTCAACCAAGAGGTCAACATCGCCAAGGTGCGTGCGACGCGTATAACAACGTGCAAACATCACACTTTTATTTATTCATTTATTGGATCACCAACGTAAGATGCACCATTTTCAATCTAAAAATTAATCGTGCAAAAAATCTAAACATGCTTTAACATTGATAATAAAGTTAAAAAAATGTGCAATAGACAATATAAACCATAAACACAATAAATTATAAACTAATAACATTAAGAAAATAAGGATGATTAAAGTAAATTGGATAAATAAATAAATAAAATATTTTAGGACACATTTTTACGCAATGTTTTCTAGTCCCAAACTAAGCAACGCATTTGCTATAGATAGATAATTGATAAACATGCTTAAAAATACTTTTATTTTGTAAATAAATACATATTACACATAAATAAATACCCAATCACTGGAGTAAAACTATGTTCATCACACAATATTTTTACAGTAGTAGGGGATCGAACCCACACCCTCTGGCGCAAGAGGCAGTTTCACTACTCCCCATGCCAATCGGATCGATAACGTACAGGAATCACACTTTTATTTCTACATCTATAGTTTTTATTTGTGCAAAGAATCTTATTGCACTGCTCTTACAATTAAAGGTAATGCTTCAACATTCATAACAAAAATAGTTGATAAAAAAAATATCAAAAAGAGCAATAGACAATAAAAAACATTAAAAAAACTATGAATTAATAACAATAAGAAAATAAGTATGATTAAAGTAAATTGAACTAACAAGAGTTCTGATAAATTTTGTTTGTAAACAAATAGTTTTAGGGTTATCTCAACATTTTTAATTTGTGTTTGGAAGCTTGGGAGTCCATCAAAATGAATATCTAGATCAGTTGTTTGTTTTGCTTGTTCATTATAAGGACTGATTTTAGGAGGAATGATGGGTTCTTGCTTAGTTAATAAACCATAACTTGGTAGAAACTTTTAAATAATGGGTAAATAAAGAGTCTGTCACCCAACTTTAGCTGAATAGAATCTCGATAACGATGCTTTGATTAAAGTAATTTCACGTAATAATGTAGTTTGGGATAAAAATCCGTGCACCAACTAAAAAGATATTTTTAGTAAATTTATCGTATTTGGATCTTATATATCGATACAAAATATTCACTATAGAAACCGTATCAAAAACAATTTTTTTTAATAAACCTTCACATAGTCCGAAGTTGTCGAATATTTAATACTTGACATACCTTTTTTTTTCCGACAGCTGGGCCTAGTGAGAAAATATCGATATATCGAAGCCGATATTGATATTTTTATAAATATCGTTATATGGAGGCCGGTATCGATATTTATAAAAATTATAAAATATTCCTTCCACTTTCCACATCCGTACAACGGCAACGGATTCCAGGTGCCGGTGTACCAGCGCGGTGGCAGCGTGGTGCCTCGCAGGGAGAGGGTGCGGCGCTCCTCCGCCCTCATGGACCACGACCCCTTCACGCTGGTGGTAGCCCTCGACGCCAACGTGAGTGTCCACGCGTTTCTATGTATCGACGAGTGTTTCTTTTATGTGAGAAGGTGGCAAGCGCGCTGACTTCGCCGGTTATTAAATTATAGGGGATAGGGTTGCGTTGTCACCTTATGATATATTGGGTCACGGTCACCTCACTTTTCGAAATGCAGAAGTGTAACGTTTCCACTTCACGGCGGTTTTTTGTGAGGTTGTTGTATTTAACCGGATGGACCTGCCCATTTGTGGAGCAGTGAAGACTGCTGCATGGCCATACTACACTTGAATATTTATTTGGCAATCCACTAAAAATAAACCAAGTATCTGTCATAGAATAATAATATTTCATTATAGTTCAGGCATGTTAACAGATTTATTTGGATAACTTATTCTAAACTATGTGTTCACTTTTTTCATTTTACTTAGTCCTATTTCTTCGTACCACTATTTTCAACATTTTCTACAGCACCCCACTCGTCATGTTTCAGAACACTGCACATGGCACCCTCTACATCGACGATGGCGAGACATACGAATATCAAAACAAGAAGTTCATCTACGCCAAAATCACATATGAGCCCAACAAAATGACGTACACGTGAGTACTTCCCATAGAGGCCGTTTTGTAAATCGAAAATGAAGGAGCTATATATAGACTTAACGGTGCTAAAATGGATTAAAACATAACTTGCCGTATTAGTCTTATATCGTAATACAGCAAATTTCTTTTTCAGTGTAAGATAGTCAAAAAACCGTAATGATTTTAAAGCATACAGTGGCACACATTTTTATTGTAACATTTCTTTTGTCTATTAAAAGTGAGTACTCTGTATGTGTCGTGATAGTAATTTGGAATGTCAAAAAGTTGTTATTGGTTGCCTTGGTTCACCATGAAGTTGGTGTCACACATCCTAAAAATTCACTCTCATCACTGTTTCCAAATCCTTGAAAAGAAACATGCCTTCAAAAATATTTTGAAGATATGAGTCTTATGAAGTCTGACAATCTGGCAGTATGATCTAGTGGTGGACAATGTCCCCTGGGTAGTGCTTACACCTTAACGCCCTCTATACAGAAGAGTTTTGCCAGTGGTGTGGCATATATAGGTGTCACACATGCAGAACTCACAGGTGATTTTCTAAGAAACCACGATTTCATCATACCATGGACCCGTGGACGCTACGGCCCATATACTTTGGCCAATATCTTTATATGGGCTGTTGGTGACATGACAGGCTGGTGGACGCCACCGCGCAGTTCGCGACGCGCGCGTGGCTGGAGCGGGTGGTGGTGGCGGGCGTCAGGGCTGCGCCGAAGAGCGCGCGCCTGCGGCAGGGCGGGCGCGGCGCAGCCCTGCAGATGACGCTGCACCGCGGCAACGACGTGCTGGTGCTGCGCAAGCCCGGCGCGAGCCTCGCCTCCGACTGGACCATCGAGTTCTCCGCCTGAGGGACTGCCCCCGCTCGACAACTCCCGACGGCCGCCGCTGAACGGCACAGGCTGCCCAACTTTTTCTCTCCTACGCCCACTTTCAAAACTTAACCGGTCCCGCTGGACCAAATGTAAAATTTAGATCTAACATAGGTAGTCTACTTAGCCACTTTGGTAGCTGAGGGTCTACGGGCGTCAGTGGCGGTCGTATATAATCTGGTGTCGAACGGTTCAGTCTGTATTAAGCGACGTTGCCATGTCCGCAATGTTTTTGGTAATGAAGTAAAATAAGGAAATAGTTCATACTACCATTGGCTAAAGTTGTAGCGGTGAACATTGGCAAGTCTATATTTTGGTGTCCTATGTTCAAAACACCATTGTGAATGTTCAGTCAGCTTCAATGGTCTATGTGCGGTCCCAATATGTTATTGAAGAAAAGTAATTGAATAATTTTCATAAATAATGAACAACTGATTAAACATTAACAAAACTTGATGGTGGTAATAATTAGTAATACGCCATCACAAAAAAATACAGATGTTTTATCTCACAAAAGCATGTGTTTCGGCCGCTAGTTAGTTCGCGCCATAAATTTTTAATAATACAAAGCGCACTGCAAAAGCGACGGATGCTTGTGAAACAACCAGTGATGTTTTCACAAGATTACGCATGTCCATACTATGCAGCTTTTAAACATTGTTTCGCTTTTCATGATTACATCTCATTTATAGGTGAATGTGACAGATGATATAGACCGCATGATACGATAAAGAGAGAAAAATCAATTACAACAATTGTAGTCATTTGAGTTTTAACGCAATAGTGTCATATCTGTCTCGTATTTGTATATACATTGGAAAGTATAGTAAACATATTAAAGGAAGAAATGTCGTCAACATTATGAAAATAAATATTTATTACCAAAAACTTATTTTTTCGTAACTCATTTACACACAATAGTGCGTGTCATGTGTGCGTTACAACTACAATATCTGAACACTGGGTGTGTCTTTTGTTTTAGGTTGACAGCAGAAACTGCCAAAATAATAGATAGCTATTAAATATGTCATTGAAATCACACGGTTGTCATACAGTTACTATTTTATCAACTTAGCTTGTTTAAGTAAATGTGTACTGAATAATAAGTAACAGTGTTTGAGAATTAACAGTGATCGTTGGCGTATTCATTGTAAACGGACAAAAAAGTAAAGAAAAACTACAATGTCTGGTTCACCCGTTCTCTTGAGATAAAACAACTGTATTTATTATAATTTATTTATCTGTACAATATTTTATAAGGCCAACCCAAACTGTGACACCATAGGACATTTTTGGACAATATCCGTTTGTGACGTCAGATTTCTTAATGTGCCTCTCAGAACTGATGTTTCAATAGTATCAATATAAAAATAATTCTTTATGATCACGTATCTGTGTGTATTATACCTTTATAAGTTGAATGGGATGAGTGAAAAGTTGTGAATGGTTTTTTCATATGCATGTTCTGTATTTTGTCAAGAATAAAAACATTTTGTTAACACCCTACCAGTTAAGTATGATACATAATTCTCATGAATTACCTTCTTCAGAAACTTTACCTTCGGTCTAAAATTATCTTGAGAACAAAAATAATTTACGAAATTACAATTTTGTATTATATGCTTGGTTAGTGCTATCAAGCATATACAACACAATTAGTGTCAAAGGATATTACTATAGATTACTACTAGGAGGGATATATTATGTATTAACCGTAAACGACTATTTCTTTATGAATAGAGTTTAATTTTTAATGTTTGATGTGTAACACGTTATTATAACTAATCATATTATTGTCTATACTCCTTTTGGGCTCCAAAATGCAAATTGTTATAACTTTTAGACTAATGTAAAATTTTGTAATGTCAACTTTGAAAATATCATTTAAGGTTTCATCAATAACTTAAACTAAATTAAAACTATACATACCGCGCAATATTGACTGACATCTGAAATGAAAATAATAAAATGGATATGCCTTATTATGATTATTTATTTCAAATGTTAACAAAAATATATCTATTGAGATTAGTTCAATATTAACCAACAATTTGGTGATCCAAGTAAAATAAATTACTGAAATGCTTACAATAATTTATAAGGTATATCCATATTATTCATATCAAATTATGCTACCAATGAATAAATTTATCATGAGATGGAGTGAGACTAGCCATTAACATTGTGTATATTGGAGCCTAAAACACCTGGTGTTCATTTAGGGATTGGATATTCTAAATAAAATTTGGGTAATAATTACGATGTTGATACTGGTCTCTAAATGGGCAATTAGCAGCAGTACTTCTGGGAGCAGTTATGTATGACGGATGTATGAATTTTATCATATCATGTGATAATAAAATAGATTTATGGATATTCACGCCGTTTTATTTCGTTCATTGCCCTTGTGTAATATATACACCTGTATTTAATGTTACCTTAATGTTTCTTCAGCTGCTAAATATCAATATAAATTCAATCAAGTACATTAAAGACTAGTATAAACTATAATAACGCAGGCATAAACAGTAGAAATAATAAGTGAATTTATCAAGTTTCAGGGAATATAAAACTTCGATTTTAAAATGTCTTCTATTGGTTTTAAATGATCATCGAAAACTGTGATTTAAATTATGCTTGTTAATTTTTTGTAAACAGAGTTTGCATTCGATGCCTATGTTATAGTATTGGACATAAAATAGTAATACTAAATTTTTATGGCAGTGTTAGCGATTGTTTATGGAGGAGACATTTTGTATGTATCTTAAATTTGTATGGAAAATTTTTAACAAGATAAAGGAACAGAAAGGTAAGAAATAGTGTTATATTGGAATTGCAATAACAAATTACAGATAGATTGGGTGTATCATCTACTTTTTTTTATGTGAAAAGTTGCCAAGCGAGCAGACGGTTCACCTGAGGTTAAGTGAATACCGCCGCCCATGGACATCTGCTACCCGAGAGTGGCAGATGTGTTGACAACCTTTTGAAAATTGGGCTCCGGCCACCTCACTCACCTCACTCACCAGACGAAACGCTTCTGTGAGGTCGTGGTACTTACCCGGACGAGCCTGCCCATTCGTGCAACAGCCGAGGCTGCTGCATGGCTCTACCACCGTAAAATCATCAACATGAAAATTTTACATAATTTGAGTAATGATGATTTGATTGCTGCCCTGCAACTCACAAACACATTTTTTTATGGTACATAAGTATTATTAGGTACCATAAAACTTAATATATAAATGATAAAAATGAGAGCTTACGCAGGAACCACATAAAGACAATAACCATAAATAGTAGATTTCACTTCAATATTTCTGGTACTAGCTTATTGAGTTCACACTGTTCTAAACTATTTACAAGACAATTGAAACAAAATCAAGTTAGATATTGTCTATACACTTTTATTCTTACTAACAATATTTACATCCCTATTGATATATTATACAACACTTAAAAACTTATTAAATACACATATGAAAGAAGTATAAGTTGGGCAAAAATATTTTCTAAATTGGACGTAGTTATGCGAAAATGTTCCAACCCACAGTCACTACGAAGCTGACGGATTTGTCACCTGATCGGTGATTAATTGCGTCAAGCGCCTACGTCATGGCTGATTAAAAGTATATTTTCTAGTTAAAAAAATACGTATATAAAGCTGAAACTATAAGGAATCAAAATATGACTAAAGTACACCTTTTTTTGACACCTTACATCATTCTAGCTAAAACATTCCTGTCCTGATGTAATATTTCTTTATTTATAATTTTCACTGCATGTTCCAACCAACAATTTTTACCAATTAAATGATTTCATTGAAAATAAAACGTATTTATCGTCGATTAGTGACGCATGAACCATTCAAAACGTGGGGTACTTTTTTATTTTTAACATTTTAATATAATTTTTTTTATAAAACGATAAATATTGACTATTAATTAAATTATTTCGAATTAAGCAAACGAATCACAGCGCTGCTGTCAAAGCTGTACATACTGTTTGTTTTTCTTGATCTGACTGAGATATGACTGATTATTTTTGAATAAACAAATTATTAAGTAATATTTTTCTTTGTAATTTTCATATTTATTTTATACATATTTATTTTTCAATGAAATCATAAAAACACATAAAATCTACTTTTGGAAAATTTTTGCAAAATGATTAGAAATGACGTTTCACACAAAAAGTAGTTTTGCAAAAACATTCCAATACCATTTTTCCTAATTACCTACCTTTTTAACGTAAATATAATAACAAATGGTACTTTATTAGGTAATGACCATATTTTATCCTTGTAATTTATCAATACTAGTTAGAGCAAAAATGTGTACCAATGAAATAGTAAATTGCGTTTTTCTCAAATTGTGAACATTGTGGAATGGAACTTTTTCGCATAACTACGTCCAATTAAACTTAGCATATTTAAAACAAATGGAGTGAGTAACAAACTGATTTAAATTCAAATAGTCATTAAAGCTTTAAAAATAAGTGGGGAGATGTGGCATTTAAAATAAGCACCAATCACAGATTGCATGTTTTCTTCTGTGAAGGATATGTTTTAGGGCCATAATTTTTAAAGTGGCAAAGGCACTTATGTTATTCCCTCATTTTAGGGGTAGAAATTTAATTAACAAATTGTTCTTATGGATTGTTTCTCCAACATAACAGATTATACTAAGATATTAAAACATTAACGGCCCACTACTGCTTCCTTATTCCAATGAAGATTGGCATAAAAGGCAACACTCGCACTGAACCAAGCAAGTGACCAACCATATCGGCACTGGAAAGCGCTTGACCAACTTCAACACTGCTTTACTAGAACAGGAACACACACGGATCAACAACTAACGTTTCACTGGAACGGGCAACAGGGTTCACTTATAAAATATCCTAGTGGGCTTGTCGCCGGTCGCTATCTCGATGAACGGGTGTGTGCTTTGGTGCTTGAGCATTTTCGCCTCGCTCTCGAACCTTTCGCCGCAAATGTTGCACGCCGCCTCCCCGTCGTTATTGGACGAGGAGTCGTCGCCGCTGTCGACCTCAGCATCCGCCTCCGCCCCCCCCTCATCCTTAACCACGACCCATTCGTCGCCCGCGGGCGAATCGCTGGCCGACCGCCTGGAAGTCGACTCCGGACTCGGCTTCCCGGTCCTGAGGTACGCCTTCATGCTGATATGCTTGGGCGACGCCTTGTGCCGCTTCAGCCGGTTCTCCGAGCTGCACTGGTACTCGCATATGAAGCACACGTACTTCATGTCGCCCGTGTGCAGCTCCGCGTGCGCCCTCCTCTTCTCCGGTGTGGCGAATCGGAAGTCGCAGAACTTGCACGGGTACCGCCTCTCCGCCGAGTGGAGGCGCATGTGTGACGTCAGCGCGGCTCCATCCCTGCACACCTTCCGGCACTCGATGCACATCACGCCGCTCCCTTCCGCGACGGCCTCTTCGCCGGCGTCGGCACTGTGGTGCACCCGCCTGTGCGACGTCAGCCCCTTCTGGCTAATGAACACCCGCCGGCAGTCGATGCACTGGAACTGCGGCTCGGCCCTCGAGTCGGGCCCGTGCCTCTCGATCTGGTGCATCGCCAGCTTGTCCGCCTCGTGGAACTGCACCTCGCACTCCTCGCACTTCCACGCCTTCACCAGCTTCGAGAAGGCCTCCAGGACGTCCAGCACCGACTGGCCCTCCACCTCCGGGTGGTCGGTCTTCGTGTGGTTGCCGAAGTCGATGATCTTCGCGAAGGTGCCGTTGCAGTGCGGACAGACGTAGGGCTCCTTGTGATCGTCCATAACGTGCGATTTCAGCTCGGAGAGTTCCGTGCAGGTCTTCGAGCACATGAAGCACTTCAGCTTCTGTTTACCCTTGACGACCTCGGACAAAACTTTGTACTCCATCACTTGGACCTTTTGATGGATTTGCAGATGCTTGAACAGCTCCTTGCGTGTGTTGTAGTCGGTGGGGCAGAACTTGCAAGGGAACCGTTTCCTGTGCAGCCTCTTGCGGTGGAGCGACAGCTCTTCTTTGTCCTTGAATTGCTTGGAGCACGTCACACAGGGGATGTAGGAATTTGGGTCGGAGCATATGTTGTGGGATCGCAGGCAAGTCTCCATCCGACTCCTGCGCCGGAATACTTTGCCACAAGTGCATTCGTAGCCCTCCTTCTTAACCCTCTCGACTATAGAGCTGACGTTCTCCACTTTAATCTCTTTCTTAACGCGGGTCTTGCACTTCTTCTCCTCCTGCTTCAGCTTCTTCTTCATATTGGCTATCCGTGTCTTCCGTCCCTTTATGATTCCCATCGCGCGCTTCTCTATGATCTCATGCACTTGCTTGTGCTTCCTCAGGCAGGCGGCGGACTTGTAGGCCTTCGGGCACTTTTTGCAAGTGTACGGCCGGTCGGGATGCTCCGTTTTCGTCTTGGGCTGCAGTAGGCCGTACGCCTCCTGCTCTAGCGACATAACGTTGCCAGTTATAGAGTTCAAATGGTAAGCATTGTCGTAGTCCATCGCAACGCAATCGTCGCTCGCATACGTAGTTGGCAGTATTTCCTCGGGGTTGTCATTCTTAGTGAACGCCGCGCTGCCTGGCATTGGCAGTATCTCCATCACTAAAGTTTTGGTGGTTTGCGACTTGGTCAGCCCATCCTGCGGATTGGTCACCGTGGACGTAGTGTTGATAACCTTGTTCGAGATCAAGTGGGTTTCGGTTACGGTCGGATCGAATTCTTCCTTAACCGCCACTGTATTCAGTTCCTCGTGTTCATTGGCCTGGAATTAATGATATTGCATAATTCACAAGCCTATTAAACTGCATACTCGAATGTTAACAATATAACCATGGATTTTTTTTAAGTGAGAAAGTGGCAAACGAGCTGGCGGTTCACCTGATGTAAGTGATAACAGCCACCCATGGACAGTTGCAACACCCGTATAGGGTTGCAGATGCCACCTTTTAATAACGACCAATGACGATAGGTCAAAGCAATTCGTGACTTGATTTTGGATCATAGGGCGATCCTATGTGCAGACTAGTACGTTGTTGAGATCCTAACGTCCAAGACCGTTGTAGACAGGCATCATATAAGTTAAAATTCAGGATGACAAAACCGTAGAATAATTATGATTTGAACCTGTGTTGGTAAACGCAGCAAATTAAGAACCGTAAAGAAACTCAAATATTCGCAAATTTTGCTCGCATAACCTGCTCATCAACCCGATCAAATAATGGGACCCAAGTATACAGACCAAACGGAAATCATACCCAAAATATAAAACGTAGTGATTTCATGCAATACTAATTCGCTGCTCACTTAACAACCAGTCTGGACAAAGTATGTTATTTTCTTAACAATTCCAAATTATAACTAAAACCAAGCATACCATTGGAAAAATTTAGAGCAAAATTTATTTACTTAGTAAGAAAGTTTAACTTTACTTTAACTTATTAATAAAGTACAGCAACAAAATAAAGATAATAAAAACAACAAGTTCTATGAGACACCTGACAAAAAATAGTTACTGTGACATAAAATGAAAATAAGAATGAAGAACTTTATCCCCGCTCACCTCAAACAACTCACTTTCACACTTTATTTCGAACTCTTCCTGAAGACATGTTTCAATATTATTCAATGCTTTTGCCTCATTGCTGCCCTCGGTTTGATTGTCATGATAATTAGAGTACTCATATGGATTTTCTTCTATGTCCTCTTCCTGTTTGATTTCTATATTGTCATCATATATGTTGGTTATAGTCTCTTTAGTATCAACAAGAAGTTTAAATTCACTATCTCCAGTTGCAAAGCAATGTTGCCTTGCGTAATTTTCGCCTTCAATCTTTGACTTTTCTATCAATAATTCGTGTTTTTCCTTATTGATTTCATATCCAATTTGTTTATTAACAACTGAGGATTGTGTATACTCGCTTTTAACCTGAAGCTGTATATTTTGGAATGGATTATCAACTGTCAAGTGTTGTTCGTTATAATCTACTTCAGTTTTTATCTGGATATCTTCGTTAACTTTCAAAATGCCCATTTCTTGTTTAACGAAACTATCTTCTGGTATTTTGCTCTGCCGAGGTATGCCACTGTGTAACTCCATTTCTTTATTCTGAAAAAATTAAAAAAATATAAATTTTAGTTAATGATAAAATATCCTTATGCAAGGGGCCTTTTATGATGTATTTCGATAGCCCTCAATAAATCACAAAACGAATTCGGGACTGTAGGCGTACAGCTAGAGGTAAAATTTTATTGTTAAATTGTAAAATGGTAGTTTTGGGGGTTAATGGTAAAATTTTTGGCACACATAATATTTTTATCGTTATACAAATATATAGAAAAATGGACGCGTGCTTACAATCACACGATAGAAGAGAAAACTTAGAAATGTTTCAATTACAAAAAAAAAACCATAAATGAGTAATGAATTCCAGGCGCAATCAATATTTCTGGCACTAACGGCAACTCTAAAATGAAATTTGAAGTCATTTGACGACTGATTAATTGACATCTACGATAATCAGTGTTGCAAAAACCGGGCGTAAACATAATGAACTAACTTATTCATTAGATAAGGTCGAAAAGAAATCATTCGGAATAGCTGGATATTTAAAACCGTTGTGTACAGCCATGATAGTTATCGATTGTACCTGAATGCCGGAACTGGTAGTACAAACTGTAATGGGATTTTCATCGACGTCGCAACGAATTATCCCTATAAACTTAATACTTCTATCATTTAATTTATCGAAATCATTATTAAACCACAATCGATCGCAAATTTGCATGTTTTTCTATATCCATGCTGATTGAAATGTTTATTTAGTAGCATAGGTGCCTTATTTATCAATAAATATTAATATATTTTTTACGAAATGAGCCTATTTCATAATAACATAATTGTTTTGTTTTGAAAAGTTCATACATGTTTATTTATATCAATATACAGCGTGTCGTTACCATCGCGACAATAAATGAACACACATATAGGGGATAACTTTTTAAAGTTGTATTAAACATTTAAATTCTTTAATCATCAATATTTACAGAGTTATTAAATTTTCCAAAACAAAGAATTTTAGAACACCCTTACCTATAAAAGCGTAACGTAATGTTCATTTGTAAAGGTCACAAAGCATATGAATGGGTTGAATGAATTTAAGAGACAAAACATACTGTTAGAAGGATAGGCTTGTAATACAACGCTGTGGCGCGAGTTGTATAGGATGTTACAAATTTTGTTTCTTTTTTACTTAATTAGTTTGTTTGAAAAATATTTTTTTTTTAAATATGGATTTTGTTTAACGTTAACATTTTTTTATGATTATTGGCAAGTAGCGTTAGACGTGTGTTCATTTATTGTCGCGATGGTAACGACGCTGTATACTCGAAAGACTTATGATTTTATTTATTTTTAAGAACACCGCCATCAGTGCCTTACATTTCTATTTCCTGATAACATCGAAAATGTAAAATAACTAAATAGTTATTGTGCAATACCTTGTTCGTGTTTTATTTAAAGACGCACTTCGTTTTTAAGTATTTTGGTGTAGTACTACAAGTGTACGGCTCACACAACAGCGACAAGCGCGAAATTATGAGTAACTGACGCAACTTGATACTTTTATTTAATTTGCAGTCATTTATTTTTTAAGCTTACGTTAAATTGTATTCAACAAGTTTTTAAAGCAAAGTTTTCTTATTTATCTAGTTATCATTTATTTGACTTCATTTGAAAGTACGTAGTTACTGGTAATTTCCGTTTAAAATAATCTAATATAATATAAAATTCTCGTGTCACGGTGTTTGTAATTGAACTCCTCCGAAACGGCTCTACCGATTTTCGTGAAATTTTGTGTGCATATCGGCCAGGGTTTAGAATCGGACAACATCTATTTTTCATCCCCCTAAATATTAAGGGTGGTCCACCCCAAACATTTTTTTCTACACTACAAATAATTTATATGACAAAACAACGTTTGCCGGGTAGTTATTTATAAAATGTAATTTTGTTCTAAATTAATTTTTATGAAAAAAAAAATTACAGAAACTTTAATTTTATTTGTGTCGCGGGCGGCGGCGCTGCAGCACTCTCCGAGCCAAGGATAGGAAAGACATCGAACTCGTTGATTATGCGTAGGTAGGTTAGACAAGATAGGTAGGTAGCTATGTAGGCAGTTAGGTAGGGCAAGTGAATAGTCCAACCCGCCAATGAATTGCCACAACACAGTTTTTATGGTATTCTGAATGCATTTTGATGATTAAAAATGTTCATGCTAAATGTTAAAAAAATCATTTGCACAACTATGAAATTGGAATGAATTGGAATTGTGTAATAAAACTATTTTAAGTATTCTATTGCGTTTAATTACGTTCAAAAAAAAAATAAAAACTTCATTCACATCCATTTTATTGTTTGTATCTTTGGAAGATTTTTATATAAGCTTTGCGCCACACATTTGACACTTCATATGAAAATTTAAATTAAGTCCTGTCCTTCTTTGTTTTTCTTGTAATATTTCAACAACAAACAAGTTCTTAAATTACATTTAAAATTGGAACTACGGTTTCCGATTTCTTGAAGATGTTTAAAAAAATAACCTATTTTTACGACCCTTCTTCCTGAAACCAGGAACGATTCTGTTTCCTGTTTGTGTTCTAAAAACAATTCAGAAAAATAGGACTTACATTTAGTACAAAAAGTAGTATAATATAACTTACGTTAGCCATACCCAAATTGCAAGTCATTCGGTCATAGCTTTCCCGACTCGCTTTGGTCATATCAATCGCGATACTCGTATCACGGCTACTTTCATTATTTCTCCTGTAAAAGGGGGGTCTATAATAATAAACATTCACAATTATACATGAATTTTTAAATATGATATAAGTCTTCTTGTATCTTGTATTAACTGATGTTTTTGCTTTCAGTCCCGAGACTATTAAAGCTTCATCTGACGCAGAACCGGTGGGCTAGCCAGAATCCACGGGTTTAGGCCCTCCACTGTGCGTAAGGCCACGCATGTGCACATGCGTGCGTTTAACTATGGTATGTCATCTAAGGGCCATCGAGGTTGCGGTTCGGACCGGGACCCCGATGGTCGTCGACTGTGTTTTTAGCTAATCGGTGGCTGGGGGCGGTGAGAACCGCCCTGGAACGCGGGTGTACCTTGTGTACGAGTTGAGTTGGTTTCGCTGTGCTCGGAGACGAGGGCGAACTATTGTGTTTGTTGTTACACTAGCTGAGGGTGTAGTGTTATCGGATCCGACGTATCTAAGTCCCCTTCCTCGACCGGGTCGATGAGGACGTTTCGCGGGCGACGCTTATTGACGTTCGCGTTTGTGTCGGGTTGGTAATTTGCTGCGCTTACCACCAGAGGGTTTGGGTGATGTTCGGCTCTATCGAAGAACCGTTTGGTCAGGTCTTTAAAATATTCGCGGATCGTCGGGAGTCTGCAATCGATGTGCAGGTCGACGTTGCGTTGATACCAATGCGCACCGGTTGCGCGGCGGATGAACTTATTTTGTACTATTTGCAGCTTGTACAAGCGAGTAGGATGCGTGTGGGCGAAGGTCATGCATGCGTAGGACATAATAGGTCGTACGCAAGTCTTATATAATAATAATTTGTGCCTTAAGGGCATTTTACTTTTAGTGTTAGTTAAATTGTGTAGCCGACCGGAGACGAACGCGGCTCTATTACGGACGTTATTGATGTGCGTAGTAAATGACATACGCGAGTCGAAAGTGATTCCTAAGTATTTGACCTTTTTCTCCCAGGGGAGTGGTTGGCCATAAAGGGATATTTGCTCCAACTTTCTGCATTGGCGAGGGCCTTTATGAAGATGTGACGGGTAAGTACTTCGTGTGAAGTGAATCGCCACACTCTTTTCGGGATTTACTTCTATTCTTCATTTGCGGAACCAATCGCCGAGGCGGTCGGCGGCGCTTTGGAGACGAGTAGTGAGTTGATTGAGATTTTTATTTGTGTAAAAGAGCGCCGTGTCATCCGCGAAAAGCGCGAGATTGACGTGGGGGTCTTTGGATATGTCGCTCGTGTAGAGAAAGAGCTCGTAAAGAGTAAGGGTGAGAGGCAGGAGCCTTGTGGAACGCCAACCGTGAGGCGGCGGCTTGTGGAGAGGGTGCCCTCAACTCGATATCGAAAAGATCGGTTCGACAGGAAGGCCCGGATGGTGGTACGAGCCTATCTGGCACTTTGAGTGTGTACAGCTTTTAAAGCAAGCCGTTGTGCCAGACCTTGTCGAATGCCTTTGCGACTTCGAAGAAAAGAGCCCCCGTGCTAATATGTTTCGGATGATTTAAGCCTTTCAGGATGTGTTCCGTTAGGCGGTATAATTGGTCAGGACAGGAATGTCTAGTTCGAAAGCCAAATTGTTCTGCCGGCAGAAGGCCGTTGGAAAATACGTACTCTTTGAGCCTGTTTAATAAAAACCGCTAGTAGAGTAACTGAGGAGGCTGATGGGACGATAACTTGAGGGCTGATTGGCTGGTTTATTCGGCTTCATGATACAAGTACTTACCGTATTCCCTTTAAGGCGTTACGTCTACATGCATGAATTTTCTTACGAGTGCTTTTTCCAAAGGGCTTAAGCCTTGGCATTCCAAGGGCTTAAGCCTTGGCATCTAAAACAACAAGGTTGAGTTATAAGAGGTATAAACGTTGCATCTAATTATTGGACCATGAACATAAGTCTTTGATGATTTAAGTTGAGAGCCACTACATTTTCACACCACTAATATTTTCATGTTTTTCCCATTTTAAATACGTTTTTTTCTGTAGATACCTTTTGTTTCGTAAGATTGCGAATGCCGAAGACGTGGGTTCGATTCCCACAGCGCCGACAATTTTTTCGTACTTTTTCTACATGATTTAATGGTCAATCTTGAAATATAGAAAAGAATGACCTCTTAGACATTCCTAATAATATAATTTGCCTAATAATTTGGTGTGCAGATATATTTTATATTTTGTATAACTTGTATTATTTATTATCGATAGAACTTTTCTACAAGTGGTTTACATTTGGCCAGCATTTGGCTGGATGGCAGGTAGAATTTATAATAAATTATCAGGGCAGTTCATAGACCACCTGGACTATTTATAATTAAAAGAAACGGCTCATAAATAATTGTTTCTAAACTATTCAAGAAACTAACTATTCAACTGTCTTCATCAGAACTATACCGTATCAAATTGGGCATTTAAAATATTTAATCATAACAATAATATGTTATCTAGAATGTTATTTTAATAATTCATTACTTTCACGTTACTTTAACTTAAGAATATAATCTTAATTACAATTATATTGCCAACTATGCTTCAAATATTACAATGTTTCACAATTATTTATACACAGAATTGATGTAGAATGCATCGTTCAATATATTTTAAATTACAAATTTTGTACTGTTTTCTTACACCTTCAGGTCACTCCATCAAGTTCAAAGGTAAGCTTCTAATATAGCTAAAAAAAACGAGCCCAAACTTCAAACACGGGACTAATGTTCCAGAACTAGTCCTCGAAGTAGATCTTCAGGTTATTCCATTAAACCCAAAGGTAAGGTCTCTACATAACTAACAAAACAAGCCCAAACTCGATATGCATAGCTCTTCTCGCCTATTATTTCCAGTAGCAGTCTTCAAACTACACCCTCACGTCAATCCATCCTAATGCTACTCGTCTATTAGTTTCGGGAGCAGTTTTAGAAGTACATCTTTAAGTCTGTCCATCAAGTCCGCAAAGAAATATGAATTTGTAACTTCTAGTAAAAGCATAACAAAGTGTGATTTAAATCTTACCTTAGTTGTCCGCACTCCAAACAGAACGTGAAGTATCATCTTTGTTAGGTCAAATATTTTGTATTCGTACCGCGATCTCTTTCCTCAAGAGCTACTATTTACAAGCGACACAGTATCCAATCACAACGACAGCCGAGCGTAGACTAATATTTCTTTACAATTTTTGTGGAATGAATCAAGAAAGTTACGTAGAAGTAAAATAACCTTTATTTCGATTCCTTAAGATTCACTAACACACACACACACGTAACAGCTAAATGTGAAAGAGGTTTATATTCTTAGATCTAGCAACGTCTTAAAGAGAATTTCAGGTAGACTAGTTTTTAGATATGCTACCTCTTTCACTCTCCAGGACTGTCCAGAACCGTCGAATTTTCGCGTTATGTTGGTTTCACCGTGCTGGTTTTGTATGTTAGGGCTATATGTTTTTTATGCTTTATTTTATTTATAATAATGAGACTTATAATTTCTATTCTAATTTTTATAAAGGAATAAAGGAATAATCTAATATATAAAATTCTCGTGTCACGGTGTTTGTAATTGAACTCCTCCGAAACGGCTCTACCGATTTTCGTGAAATTTTGTGTGCATATCGGCCATGGTGGAGCATCGGACAACATCTATTTTACATCCCCCTATATGTTAAGGGTGGTCCACCCCAAACATTTTTTTCTGACCTACAAATAATTTATATGGCGAAACAACGTTTGCCGGGTCAGCTAGTAATAATATGTAAATAGGACCCAAAACGACCAAACGCCCGAGGGTTAGGGCGAAAGGGTGCGAAACCGGCGGACGGTATCGAGGAGCACCGCCTTCTAGATTTGAGCTTGGAGCGATCCGTCCCGGAGTCTCAGTCGCCCCAGATGTTCGGAGAGGCTGAGTGGGATCAACCCATTCGCAGACACGACTATTAGGATGATTTCAGTCAACGCACCACCCCACATGTCAATCACCTCGTGAGCCAGGTCCAGATATTTCGTCTTCTTATCTGTCTCGGCTTTCACGAGGATTTTGTCACATATTTATTTTTATTTATAACTAGCTGCTACCCGCAACTACGTCTGCGTAGAATAGGCTGAAGGATATTCGGATAGAAAGACAGATATATATAAAATATGTATATAAATTATAGCCTATTCAGTAGTATTTCCGTGAAAAAGTAACAAACTTCCATCCATACAAACTTTCGCCTTTATAATATTAGTAAGGATATCCTTATATCCTTGCATACAAACTTTCGCTTTTTAATATCAGTAAGGATATAAGGATATTTATCTATAGATGCAATATAGTTAAATATGTTTATTTTTATTTATAAACCCAACCAGACGAGAAAACAAATAAGTATACCGAAATAATAATATGTAATATATTCTTGTCTGGCGGCAGCCGTGATGTATGCGGAATACTTTCCCCTTCCTAGACTATGGGGTCGATACCGTTGGTGACGTTTCCGAACGTCGCGCTGGGGTTGGGTTTATAATTTGCTGCGTTTACCACAAGATGATTTAAATGATTCATAGCAGTTTCGAAGAAAGCCTTTTCTTATTTGCCTAAAGAGATCGCATAATGTCGGGAGTCTGCATTGGCTGTGCAGGCCGATGCCTCGTTTATACCACCTTGCGCCGATTGCAAGGCGGATGAATTTATTTACACTACCTGAAGTTTCACCATATTTGTTTGGGGACAAAAGACATACATTTTGTCACTAAATATCATAAGTTCAATGTAAACCCCTATATTATATAAGAGCATAGTCCACAACGTGGGGTGGCCACTTCGGATTGGCAAACTTAATATGATCATATTTAAATGAAAGTGATTAGTATTTTTTTAATATGCTCCAAATATGTATGTCAAATATGTTTTGATAATAGATGTTTAATGTCAATTCAGATATTGATGTATTTTTTGTACGTTCGAGCGTAACTCCATCATATGGTCAGATTTAGGTAACTCTTTTTTTGTTCGATAGGATTTTATTCCGAAACTTGAGTTTCGGAGATAGACCGTTGAACTATTCAATAAATAACAGCAAGTCAACCGCCATTGCTCCAATCGGTGATGTACACAATTAACACGCTGTTTTCGCGCTCTCAGCTATACTGAATACGACTGCTTAACCTTTTCGAGAGTACAGATGAGATTTTATATTGTGTGTTCGCACAAAACAATGCTTATTTATGCGAAAGCAGCAATGGCGGTTCGTTCGTCATTAAACATACGTAGCATATAACTTTTTTACTGATCTATTTTCGCGCCGGTCACGAATCTCATATGAAAAGCTTAGAGATTTTGTTTCCTTATTTGCATTTTCCTTTTCGTTTCCTTTTCCTTTTTCAGTTTGACGTCGATTTTTCATACGAGCTGCGTCTTTGCTAGGTCTACCCATATTTTATAATACCTATGTATAAAAATTAAAGCCATAAAAAGAAAAAATTAAAAGTTTTTTAACAAAAATTGAACCAACTTCAAAAAACTCTATCAAGACTGAAACATTTCAAATAATACTAAATCTAATATAACCAAATCTTGAAATCTAACCTATGTAACCTATATAACCCTGGTATAGCTTTAAACTTGTTAGTAATGGTAGAGTTTTTTTGAAATCGGTTCTTTTTTTATAAAACTTTTTACATTGATATACATTTATTTCATTAACGAAATTCTACTCTTTATTCATTATTTTGCTCCATGTTTTCTCTATTAACTATAACTTTTCATATTAACTTAAATGTTTCACATCTGTCCCTTTGATGGCCTATTTTTTTATAAAGCTTACAAGCAAGCAGTCATTGACATCCACAACACCAGATAGGTTGCGGGTTCATTACCTTACTCACCAAATGAAACAAAAGTATAGTACTTTTACTTTTTTGACACGTCTGCCCATACATGTCATAGGAAAGGCAGTCACATGAACACTACCACAGTGAAATGATTCGTAATCTATGTTGGCTTGAAGTCTAATTAGGGATCATCTATTCGAGTGTGGTTTAGCAAATATTTAGGAGTGCACTTCAATAATGAAATCATAGTTTTTATTGAAAACTTCACACACCTTATCGTAAAGATTCACAATAATAAATTAAAATGAAAAGAGTTGTTACGTAAGTAATAAAAACTAGCTGTACAGTTTCACAGATTCTAATGGCACTTACTCTGGATTGCTCATCAAGCAGATCAGTAATTTGTTTACGTCTATTTGACTCACTTAGAGTCAGTCAACAATCTGTTACGAGCTTACGGCATAGAGTCATGTCTTTCTCTTTAATTAATCAAATGAAATTTATGAAAGCCACTCAAGTTTATGAGTTCAAAGGACAACTCGGCACACCCATCACATAGAATCAGATCAGTATATTTTGAATGTGTGATGAATTTTAGAGAGCAAAAATGAACAAAATTTGTTCTTGTGATTGTATTGGCGCATAAATTAATTTTTCGTTAAAATATTGTGTACCAATAATCAAGGCTATAGTTACAAAGTAGGAGGAGTATAATTATATTTTAATAAATAAATAAATAAAAATGTGTATTTGAACTTTGTATATATTGTACAAAACATCTTAAGTCTTGGTGTTTTATTGAATGAGCCTATATAATATTTATTTATTTATTCGATAGGTTCACCAACGTTAGTGCACATATAAATGATATTGAGTTGATATAAATGTTTACATTTCTATTTCAGACAAATTTAGTTTATTTGAAAGAATAAAATGCAATTTGAATGGTTTTATCTTTCGTTATTGCTTTAACCAATGTTAAGTTTAATTTCTTTCATGTGGACA